CATGGCTTCAAAGTCAGCCTTGTTAAATTTTATTTTATGTTTGGTTGTAGTGGGTCTTCGTTGCTGTGGGGACTTTTCTCTTGTTGTGGCAATCAGGGGCTACTCTGTATTGTGGCGCATGGGCTTCTCATTGTGGTGGCTTTTCTTGTTGCAGAGCACCGGCTCTAGATAACAAGGGCTTCAGTAATTGTGGTTCTTGGGCTCAGCAGTTTCAGCTCCCAGGCTCTAGAGCACAGGGTCAGTAGTCATGGCCTGGTGGCTTAGTTACTCTGTGGCGTGTGCGATCTTCCTGGACCAGGGATCGAACCTGTGTCCCCTGCATTGGCAGGAGGATTCTTTACCACCACCTGGGAAGCCCTCAGAGTCTTCCTTGAGCCTTCCTCTCTCTCAAATCTCTTTGCAGGGATAATTCAACCACCTCATAGACAGTCTTTCCCATGTGCCAGGTTCTGTCTAAGAACTTTACCCTCTGAGGCACTGCCACTTTTAGCTTCCTTTTCAGAAGAAATGGAAGAACAGAGAAGTTAAGCAATTCAACTGAAATCACAGCCCTAGTAAGCAGTGGCTCAGAGATCAGTAGCCTTGACAATCTGGTTCTAGAATCTCTGCTGTCCACTTCTTCTCAAAAAGTATGTTTGATCCCATCTCCAAAGATACCTTTTACCCATCCCTTTGATCTTCTCCACCATCGCCTCACCTGCATCAAATCCCACCATCCCAACATGGACCACTGCTAGAGCCCCTATGTGGTCCTTCATTTCCACTCGTCCCTTTCAATCTGTCTTCTGCTCTGCAGCTGAAATGGTGTTTTTAAAATAGAAACAGGATCAGGTCAGCCCCCACTCCCCAGCGCCACTGGCAAGCATACATAGACAGACTCAGCCCTAGAATAAAAAACCCAGATGCTTTCCCCAGCCTCCAGGGCAGTCCCTCTTAGGATTCTCCTAAGTCCTCTTTTAGGATTCTTCCTAAGCCACTTTCCAATCTAGACCCGCCCACTGCACCTCCTTTCACTTCCTCAAAGCTTCTTCTCACCTTAGAGTTTTGGCACAGGCTATTCTCTTGAGCTGGAATGCTCCTACTCCACTCTACAGGGTTGGGTTCTTCTCATATCCCCTCTCTCATCTGAAGCAGCCAGTCCCCTAAGCTCACTTTCCTTTTTGTTTATAGCATTCATTAAAATTGTGCGTTATTTATCACCTGTCACTCACTCATTAAATGTTTCCTTCCCTTACTAGACTCTAAAGGTTGTGAGGTCAGAGACTACATCTATTTTGTTCCCTGTTATTTACTAAGTGTCTAGCACGGTGCCTGACCTGTGATGTTCAGTTCAGTTCAGTTCAGTAGTTCAGTCGTGTTGCTCTTTGCGGCCCCATGGACTGCAGCACACCAGTCCTCCCTGTCCATCACCAACTCGCGGAGTTTACTCAAACTCATGTCCATTGAGACCTGTGATGAGCTCTCGTTAATTCAATGACTGCTTGTCGGATGGATGAAAGATCCACAGGAGGAGGCATTCATTGGTCGGGATCTTTGGCCAACTATCCCAGCTTTGGCCAGAGCTAGTTCATCCTCCCCCAGCATGCCTTCCTCTTCCCTACACGAGGCAGTGACAGAAGTTTAGGGTCTCGCAGGAAACCAGGAAGCCATGGTTGAGAGTGTAAGCAGGTTTTGCTTCAGACGCCATTTCAGTCGGGGTAGATGATGTCATGTGTGGGGCAAAAGGGAGACTCATTGTCCCCAAACCCCCCCTGCACTGGATTCCTACCACGAGAGGAATACTTATGGCCGCTCTCCCACGAGAGGAATATTTACGGCCGCTAGAACTTCCCCAGTGAAACGCAAGCTCTCACTGTCCAGTCAGGAGCACACACCCAGCAGGTGAACCGAATGGTGGCTTCTGCCTCTCTGCCAGCAGCATGGTGGTGGCCTCGAAGTCCCGAGGTCACCAGTGGGTGACCCTGGTGGTGGTTTAGTCACTCAGTCGTGTCCAACTCTTCGCAACCCCATGGACTGTAGCCTGCCAGGCTCCTCTGTCCATGGGATTCTCCGGGCAAGAATACTGGAGTGAGTTGCCATTTCCTTCTCCGGAGGGTCTTCCTGACCCAGGGATCGAACCTGGGTCTCCTGCACTGCAGGCAGACCTTTACCCACTTAGCTATGAGGGAAGCTCATGGGTGATACTTGGGGAGACTGAAGGACTCCCCAGGTGGTGACAGAGATAAAGACTGCCTGCCAGTGCGGAAGGCACAGGACACACGGGTCGGGAAGGTCCCCTGCAGAAGGAAATGGCAATCCAGCCCAGTATTTTTGCCTGGGGAAAACCATGGATAGAGGAACCTGGAAGTCTACAGTCCATAGGGTTGGACATGACTGAGCGCACGTGCGCACGCGTGCACGCGCGCACACACACACACACACACACACACACACACATCAGCAAAGTGAGGGCTTAGGTTGGAGAAGAGGTTTTTAAGCTTTTTTTTCCCCTCCGAAGCTCAGCTCTTCAGCTTGTTCAAATGATTAATATGAGGAAAGCCCAGCGTCTCTGGCTGAAATACAGAAGTGGGGCTGGAGTGCTGCTCCTCCTCCATGACTCCCCCTTTGAACTCCCCAGGGTGGTGGGAAGGTCAAGTCTTGGACGCAACTCAGTGGTCAGTGCCTGCCGGCTGACCGTCTGTGTTCTAAGAACAAAGGAGGCAGTGAGGCCTGCACGTTCTGGGTGTTGCTCCTTGGGCCCATGAAGTGATCAGGAGGGCACTTGCTGAATCTGATACTGAGAGAATAGTCAGAGACTTTAGGCAGGGCAGCAAGTGAATTTCATAGCAATCGAAGGGCAGGGCTGGCAGCCCCTTTGTGTGAGAAGGTTTCAGCCATTTTAGAAAAGAAAGGAGGGCCCAGGAGAGAGGAAGCCCAGAAGGCTCATTTACCCTCTCCGCCATCTAGAAAAAGGAAATTGCCACCCCTGCCTTTCCAGGCCAGGGATCCCAGGCCTGGAGGAGAGCGCCCACAGTCTCACAGATGCTTGGCTTCCAGGGCTGGTTGTTGCCCCGCCCCAGGGGAAGGCTGGTCCCCCACCTCCCCACCTGCCGCTCCAGAGGCCGCAGCCTGGGCCACCTGGCAGCCGCAGGTGCTGCGTGTGCGCTGCCATGGAGACGGGCCCCGGGGCTGGTGGCGAGAAGGCAGCCTCCCAAGGCTTTGTGGATACTGGAGAGGAAAAGACTGGAGCCTCCGACCTTCCAGGGCAGTCTGCCTTACTGCCCAAGTGCCAGGGAAGCCCAGGTGGGTGCTTTGGGGGCTTCTAGGACAAATGGATGGGGGAGGAGCCAGGGGAGATCAGATCTTGCTCTGGAAGGGCTGATCTGGGCAGCTGGGGAGGGAGGAGCCTGTCCATGATTTCAGGTCAAAGGGAAAAGCCTTCGCAGAGGTCCCTTTGCCAGGCCAGCGTGGTGCCCTGAACAAAGACTGGGCCTATGGACTGCGGGGACTGGCCCTGCAGCCCAAGGGGATGAGGAAGGGAGGGCCTGGTATCTGCCCCCAGAGGAGGGGTAGACCAGGTATTGGCAAAGCCCACCTCTACCCTAGCCGGGGATGTGAGGTAGCAGGTAGGGAACTATTCATCCTCCAGGAAGATCCCCTGGAGGAGGGCACGGCAACCCACTCCAGTATTCTTGTCTGAAGAATCCCATGGAGAGAGGAGCCTGGCGGGCCACTGTCCATGGGTTGCAAAGAATTGGACAGGACTGAAGTGACTTAGCACACTTAGCTCATGAGACACTGTCTGTGGTTCCCCTCCCTTTCCCTGGAGTCCAGGAAACCAAGGGCAATCCCATGCAGCACAGGGAGCATTTAAATCCGCTTTCATGGCTGGAGAGCTGTCCCCTCCAGCGTGGGCTCAATGATGCTGGGGTGGCTCAGGCCTTCGCCCAGCAGAGAGAAAGCTGCCAGAGCACCAGGCTTAGGAACCTGGTGATCTGGAACAATCGTTTTTTTTTTTTTTAATTATTGGCATATAGGTGATTTACAATGTTGTGTTAGTTTCAAGTGTACAGCAAAGTGAGTCAGTTATACATATTCAGTTCAGTTCAGTCGCTCAGTTGTGTCCGACTCTGCGACTCCATGAACTGCAGCATGCCAGGCCTCCCTGTCCATCCCCAACTCCCGGAGTTCACCCAAACTCATGTCCATCGAGTCTGTGATGCCATCCAACCATCTCATCCTCTGTCATTCCCTTCTTCTCCTGCCCTCAATCTTGCCCAGCATCAGGGTCTTTTCAAATGAGTAAGCTCCTCGAATCAGGTGGCCAATGTATTGGAGTTTCAGCTTCAACATCAGTCCTTCCAATGAACACCCAGGACTGATCTCCTTTAGGAAGGACTGGTTGGATCTCCGTGCAGTCCAAGGGACTCTCAAGAGTCTTCTCCAAAACCACAGTTCAAATGCATCAATTCTTTAGCACTCAGCTTTCTTTACAGTCCAACTCTCACATCTATACATGACTACTGGAAAAACCATAGCCTTGACTAGACAGACCTTTGTTGGCAAAGTAATGTCTCTGCTTTTTAATATGCTGTCTAGGTTGGTCATAACTTTCCATATATCCACTCTTTTTTACATTCTTTTCCCATATAGGTCATTACAGAGTCCTGAGCAGAGTTCCCTGTGCTATACAATAGGTCCTTATTAGTTCTTTATTTTATATATAGTACTGTGTGCATGTCAGTCCTGATCTCCCAGTTTATCCCTCCCCTGCCTATCCCCTGAGAACCACAAGTTTGTTTCTACATCTATTTCAGTTTTATAGATAAGTTCATCTCACTTCATCTTTTTGAATGTAAGTTTCCATTTCATCTGCGAAATAAATGTGGGTGATAATGCCTTTCAACAGCCCTCAAGACACAGCCTAGGGCCAAGCACCGGCACGGGAGACTAACGGGTGTTGCTTTGCTCTTTTCCTGCCAGGACTCCGTCTGTCGGAGTCCCCAGTGTCTGGTCTGAGGATGGCGGAGCAGCAGGGCCGGCAGCCCGAGTGCCCTGTCTGCTGGAACCCCTTCAACAACACATTCCACACCCCCAAAGTGCTGGAGTGCTGCCACTCCTTCTGCGTGGAATGCCTGGCCCACCTCAGCCTGGTGACCCCGACGCGGCGCCGCCTGCTGTGCCCGCTCTGTCGCCACCCCACCGTGCTGGCCTCCGGGCAGCCTGTCACCGACTTGCCCACGGACACCGCCCTGCTCACCCTGCTCCGCCTGGAGCCCCACCACGTCATCCTGGAAGGCCGCCAGCTCTGTCTCAAGGACCAGCCCAAGAGCCGCTACTTCCTGCGCCAGCCCCGGGTCTACACGCTGGACCTGGGCCCTGAGCCCGGGAGTCAGGCCGGGCACCACCAGGCCGTGGGCCGCAGCACCAGGCCCGTCGCCATCCCCAGCCACTACTCTCTGCGGGAGTGTTTCCGCAACCCGCACTTCCGGATATTGGCCTACATGATGGCGGTCGTCCTCTGCGGCACCGTGCTGTTCATCTTCTCCATCTTTTGCACCAGACGATTCTTCTGGGGGTTGGGGTGAGGTCTGTTCCAGACGCCTTTCCTGGCTGCTGCTGGGTATGGGGACTGTGGAGCGCCGCTTGGGGCTGGTCTTCCTTCGTAGTATTGTTCATTTTCACAATCCAGGGGTTGGCTAGGCTGTGCATCTGCTTCTAGCAACAGAGTCTTACTATGATGAGAACCTCTGAAGGCTAACGGACTGGGGACGACGTGAAGAGACCTCTGGGTGTGAACCGGGCGTCATGGAAGGGCAGAGGGGCAGACCTGTGATCACAGAGCCAGAAGCAAGTTGTGCCAAAAGGCTGGATGAGGGTACCCAGGAGCCTGTCCAGCCCAAATAGCAGGTTGCATTTCTTACTGGAGCTGCTTTGAACTCAGTTCACATTTTTTTGTTTGTTTTTTGAGTTGCTCTTTTTACTATTTGATGCTAAAAAAAATCTGGGAGTGAACTTCAGTCGGGAGCAAGCGTGTTTGTCTTCTCCTTTCAGTTTTCTCTTTGGCTATCTTGCCACCAGTCCCAGTAAAAATGGCCTGCATTCATTAATTTATTCACTTATTCAACAACCCATTGGCTGGTCCTCCGTCAGAACTAGGGGGAGAGAAAGGTAGGATTAACCAGGAGTGGCAGAGTCCTCAGTAAGGAGGGCAGGCCAGTCAGTTGCTTCTGGTTCACGATGACCTCTTGTTAGTATGTGGTTTACAGAGTGTTAAGAGTATAAAAGCTTAAAGGGAAAAGAAACCTGAGTCAGTGGATCAAAAGAAATCTGGGATTTGGAGGAAGAGATTTTATTCCTCCTGGTAGGTGCAGGGTAGAGTTCTGATTCCCGTCCTTCAACCATTGTAATTCTGGCCTTAAGAGGTAAGGCAGGGGGTATCCATTGTGGCACAGTGGATAAGAATCCGCCTGCCAGTGCAAGGGACACAGGTTTGATCTCTGGTCGGGGAAGATACCGCACGCCAAGGAGCAACTAAGCTGCAGCTATGGAGGCTGCGTGCCTAGATCCTGAGCTTGGCAACAGGAGAAGCCACTGCAGTGAGACGCCCCGGTTCACTGCAACTAGAGAAAGGCCTTGCAAAGCAACGGAGACCCAGTGCAGGCAAAAATAAATAAAATCATGTTTTAGAAAAAAGAAAAAGCAAGGCAGGGAATTCTCTGGCAGTCCAGTGGTTAGGACATCCCGAGTCCACTGCAAGGGAACTAAGGTTCCACATGCCATGAGGTGCAGCCAAAAAAAAAAAAAAAAAAAAGAGGTAAGGCAGAAACTCCGGATAGAGTAAAAGCCTTAGCTCCCATCCCAGGCAACACCACCAAGGGATCCTGGTTTTTATTTTGTATGACAGCATCTAGGGACCAAGGAAAACTGGATAGAATTTGGATGCTGCTTGACTGCCAGTGGCCACCTCTGCAGTATCTAAAACCCCGACTTCTGTTCCCTCACTTTTAATACTACCTGCTGACTCAGGTCTCTGAAACTACCTCAGAGCAAATTAGAACACCATCACAAAATGATAACATTTTGTTTGGGGAGGGGGGGTGAATTTGTAGAATAAGCTTTCAGAGGACAGAAGCTGAGTTGGTTTCATTTGCTCTATATAGCATTTTGTGAGTTTAATGAAGGTAGCTTCTATAAATTCTTATGGGTCTTAATGTATAAGATATTCCCAAATTGCCAAGACATGCAGACTTCATGTTTAGCAACACCAAAGCCTTAAGCTCCACTGTGAAGGAAAAGTTCTCCATTACGAAATTCGAAAGCTGCCTTCATATCCTGCCAGGGGACTAGCATCTACCTCTCCATTTGCGCCATCAGGTAATTACACTAAAGCTGGGACTCCACACTTCTCCCTACTGACTTCATTTCTTTACACATTCTTGCTTCTTAACCTTGTGGCGGGTAAATTAGGCAATGAGCTCATGTTCTCAGAGCCATGACGAACAGGGAGAGGAGCCGGGGGAAGCTCAGGAAGGAATACCTGCCTCTGAACCAGGGCCCACTGCTCCCGAGTTCAGGAGGTCTCACCCCCATTTCACAGATGAAACTGGGGCTCCCCAAGTTTAGCTAATTTGTTCAGGGTCACCCAGCTAGCATGTGGTGGAGGCCTTTCAGTCAAAGCAGAACTTCTACCCTTGGAGTGGCTGATTCACCAAGCAAGACTCAGCTTTGAGTATTCTGGAATAGGGAAGGTTATACTTAACACTGCAGCATCTCCTGTTTTCACATTTAATATTAATGGTTCTAACATTGGGCAGTGCCATCCTTCTAGAGTGCGTTTAGAAATCTTTGGCCCTCCAATGCAGGGGTGAGTTTTGTTTCTGGCTGTTGGTACTCAGAGGTCAGGGATGCTAAGACACGCTGCAATGCTGAAGACATTCTACAGAACAAAGCATCATCTGACCCAAAATGCAAGTAGTTTTCTGTTGAATAACACTGCAGGCTCCTTGTAAGTTCACAGGTACAAGTGATGAAATTAACTCCCTTTGGCATGAAGTCAGAGTAACAGATGCAGTGATGTGGTATAAACGGTGGAACAGGCTTTTCCAGTATGTGACCTGAAGTGACTTTTTTTTTTAAGGAATGAGGCAATTTATTAACCCAGCATCATTTGCTCTAATGCTGCTTGTTGCCAGCTGCCACCTGTCTGGCGATTCTGTCCAGATCTTTTTCCTGAGATGTCAGTTTGCAGCCCCCATCTTGGTCCTTTTCCACCATTTCCCTTGTAGGGCTTGGAGGACCCGATGGGCCACACTCTTGGAACCTCTGCTGAAGTGGCTGGGCATGAGGCCATTCCTCTGACGCCCCCTCAGAGATCATGGTCGTGGGGCCAAGCCCAGCGCCCCTGGAGGTACAGGTTCTGTGCGGTGGAAGCAGCTCGTGTGCAGGATCAGTTCTCATTGTAGGGAGCGAGCGAGCTCTTTATGTTTGGCCAGCTTGACAGTGTCCACCCATTGAGGGACTGTCAGCTTCCCGGACTTTCTGAGGAAGGTGGCCAGCCCTCTGACAGACTCCAGCTGGTTCACGTCTTTTCCAGTAACTCCAGGCATTATGCAGCCTCCGCGCTGCCAGCCAGGGCAAAGAAGGTGACTTCTAAAATGGTTTGCTATTCAGTTGACCCAGAAACCCCCACAAAACCATGCAAATCAAGAGGTTCAAAATCTGCACATGTTCACTTTAAGAACACTTGTGAAACGGCCCAGGCCATTTAGTGTATGCACATCTGAAAAGCCACCAAGTATCTGAAGGATACCCCTTTACAGAATGTGTGCCATGCAGTTCTGTCGTCACAATGGTAGAGTTTGTAGGTGCGCTCAGGCCAATCGGGGGCTGGACGCAGGGTCGGTGGTCCAGAGGGCTGAGTTTTTACTGTACACCTTCAAAGATGCAGAGAGCAGTGCTGAACCGAAGGGCTTAGATGCAGATGCTCTGGCCACCGAGCACATTCAGGTGAACAAAGCCCCTGAGAGGTGGCGCAGGATTTACAGAGCTCGTGGTGGGTTCACCCGATCGAGGAGCTCTCCCTGCTACGCTGAAAAAAGGACAGAAATTCTCACGGAAAAAGGAGATAGTTCCTAAACCGGAAGAGGGGGTGGCACAGAAGAAAAACATACCCCAGAAGAAAATGAAGAAACAAAAACATAGTGGTCTGGGAATAAATGCTGCCAAAAAATAAATGCAAGTAGAAAATAAACAAATACAAGGTAGAGCGGTTAGAGTTCAGGCCTTGTACAGGGAACAGGCCGTGCTGGTTGGACTGTTTGTTTTTTTTTTTCCCCAATCTGGTCAGTGTTGCCAACATACTAAAGTCCTATGAAACCTCTTATAAGGTCAGAGACCAGACTCTACCACTTACTAATTAGGTAATCTGGAGCAAGTTACTTCTTTGAACTACAGTTTTGTTTGTAAAAAAGGCAATAATTAACTCGAGAGACTGTGAGGATTAAACAACATGCCTGAGGGGTTACCTGGAGGTATCTAGACAAAGTACCCTCTTAAGTGATAGCAGTAGTGTTTATCTCACCATTATCATGAAATGCCACACTTAGTGTATGCTCCTCAGCCAAAGGCTTTCTAACAATATTTCCAGCGAGGAAGTGTATATTCCATAAGACACTTCTTTTGCCAAAGGCTTAGATGACATGTTTTCACTCAGTTGCTACTTCTAAATCACTTGGAAACCCCCCCACCCCCCCAAAAAGAAGACAAGTTTGAATGATAGTAAAACTTCATTTAGAGAAAATCTTGAACACACTACATTTAAAAATTGCATGCTCATATACTAAGGTTCATTATTACTTTCAACACACTACGAAGGTAGTTAGGAAAAAACAATTTTTTCATGGCTCAACTATGGAGGGAATGGTAACCCACTCCAGTATTCTTGCCAGGAGAGTCTCATGGACAGAAGAGCCTGGTGAGCTAGTCCACGGGGTTCCAAGGGTCGGACACAACCTTGCGACTGAACCACCACAACCGCGGAGGAAATGGAGCCTGCTAAACAGTGAAGAGCCGAGCGGAAGGCAGAGCGGATAATCCAGAAGCTCCAGAGGCACACAGGACGTGCAACCACTCGGTTCTAACTGAAATCAGACTAAAAAGTCTATTTACTACATGTCACTCATTCATAGTTTGTACAAGGGTAACTGTCAAGCCTCCTTGGGAAGCAAAGGACAAGTGTTTTGAATGTTCAAGAAGCCATCATATTAGCCCTTCTGAATTCTCTATACACAATCCTTGCCAATTCTATTTTTGTGTGAATCTGTGTGAATTCAGTGTTCAGTGGTTGTATATCCGGGGTGGAAACAGAAGGTAACTACTGCATGGTCAGTGAATAATTATAGGGTCCAGATACAGTTCACTGGTAGTCTGGCCTATAATGCGACAGCCCTCTATTTTTAAAAAAATGACTGACAGAATGCTTACTAAGGAGATGGAATTAGAATAAGCTATACTTGAGATCACTTGTTATATTCCAAACTTAAAAAAAAGGGATCTTTGTGGACCAATGGCTGGGACTCAGGAAATGCTTCACTATACAAAATAATTCTTTAAAGGACAGTTTTTTAAATAGGATTTTACTCTGCGGCAAGTGTATAATAAAGAAAAAGTTTATGTTTAGGAATACCCATTAGGGATCCTTTTTCCCAGAGTTATCTCCACATGAAGGGTACATATAAATAATCAACAGAAAATAACTTGCACAATAGAGACATCATGTTTGCTTTCTAAAAATTTCATTGAATCTTGACACAATGGCCTAGCTTTGGGTAACACAAAGGATGCCAAACTTCAAAGCAAAATGGAAGACATCTTCTCAAGAGGCAGATGCTCAGTTCTGAACTTCCCGATGCAGTTAGCGTTCCAAGTGAACTCAACAGGATGAGGTAGAACCTCTGCTGCGGAGCGCGGGACACAGCTGCACTCCACGCCTTCGCTGCCAGCTCCGAGGGCTCTCGCTCTGGCAGGAGCTGTTCAGCCGGCACCGTGAGCTGCGCCTCTCTGCCCGAGGGCCTCCTGCACATAGCACAGCCGTCCTGCTCTCTGGGTCCCATGGAGTCCTGAAACATGTACCCCGTAGTGGAAAGCCAGGTTTCAAGAAAGCAAAGTCCTGAGTGCTCTGAGGGAAGCAAGAGGGCATTCAAATGCAAGATTAATAAAAACAAAATCTACAAAGCTCATGGAGGGGCTTGAAGATGAAAACTACAACTTTTCGACCATGGAAGGGGTTGACCAACACCCAGGGACTGGGCTGCTTGCCTGAAGTGGGAGCTGAGACAGAAATTCAATTCTTTTGAGGATTTATATACATGGTAATTGGAAAAACACATGATAGAACAAAACACATCAATTCCTTTCTTTTGAAAACGGCTCTAAAGGGAGAGTGAGGCTTGAGTCCTTCTTCCATGGTCCTGCCTATTCAGCCATCCAGAGCTTGAAGGTCCTGTCATAGGAGCAAGTGGCTATGAGCTGCCCATCAGAAGAAATGTCTAGGCCCATCACTTTGCCTTCGTGGCCGGCCAGAGTCTTCAGAGGGGACCAGCCTGGGTGAGTCCAGATCTTGGCTGTGTTATCATAGGCACCAGTGAGCAAGAAATTCCCATGGATAGCTACAAAAGAGAAGAGGAACTACTTCAGGAATTGAAATATTCAAAACAGTGTAAGAAAATAAAAGAACCCAAATCTGCAGGGTGTGTGCTCAGTCGTGGCTGACTCTTTGTGACCCCATAGACTGTAGACTGTCAGGCTCCTCTGTCCGTGGAATTTTCCAGGCAAGAATATTAGAGTGGGTTACTTCCCTGGCGGTCCAGTGGTTAAGACTCCATGCCTCCATTGCAGGGGGCATGGGTTTGACCCCTGGTTGGGAAACTAAGATCCCACATGCCACATGAAGGGGGAAAAAAAAATCTAAAGCAAGCAAGAAGACTGGAATGGGTTGCTATTTCCTCCTCCAGGGGATCTTGCAACCCAGGGATCAAACCCGCGTCTCTAGCATCTCGTGCACTGACAGGTAGATTCTTTACCACTGTGCCACCTGGGAAGTCCTCAAATCCACTAGAACATACTATTTCCAAAAAGATGGTATTTTGGCATTCACAAAATGCCAACACTCCAATCTACATTTCTACTAGTCCTCTAAAAAAAAGGGAACAACTACAGACAGACTTAGGGAAACAAATAACATTATTAAGGTCTTTTGGCTCTTTCCCTGAGACTATCTATTCATAATAATATTAAGAATTAAGTGCTTGGACCTTCCATGGAAAGCAAAACATGCACAGAAGTCTTCTTTACTTCCTAGCAACAAGAAGTATGCAGTCATAGCTCTGTCTGAAATGGTGGTTGAGGGAAGGAAATTATCATTTGTTCCTTCAACAGGGTCCAAATTCTCTCATGTTCCCCTTCCAAGTTAAGCTAACACCTGGCCTGCATTTCACGCAAATGCAATCTGTTTGTCTTGTAGTTAGGCTTACAATAGAAGGAAAACTCACGCTCAAACTTGACACCCGTCACTAAGTTCTGATGGGCAGGGATGGTATAGACACAACGTCGCTGTCGAAGGTCCCATACTTTGCAGGTGTTATCACCACTGCCAGTTGCAATGTGGTAGCTGTGGATCAGATATAGTGATGAAGTCAGAAACACAGAGTACCTGCTGACCAATAACCCTGTCCACCCCTCATTCAGTGAGCTTCTTTACCCATTGGGGGAGAAATTTATTCCATATATTTCCTTCAGGTGACCTTCTAGGAACATGATACAACGTCCTGTGCGCAGGTCCCAAACTCGACCAAATGCATCCAGTCCCCTGATAAAACAATTCATGAATGAATATTTTGAACCCAGTTCTCTGTGGAAGCAGGCAGATGTCAGAGGTGAGACGACTGAGCTGCCCCGGCTATGTGGAAGAAGCCTTACCCAGTGCCAGCCAAAGAGCCATCTTGATGGAAGGCAATGTCATACACACCCATGCTGTGGCCCTCCTGATGCAGGATCTCCTCTTGAGCTTCCAAATCCCATAAGCGCCATGATCGGTCATAGCTTAAAAAGTCAAGCTAACAATTAACCAGCAGATACTCAAAGTGTACAAAGTGCTATAAATTACAAGTGTACAAAGTGCTTCAATGTACCAAGTGCTGTCAACAGTTGTAGCTCAAATTATATTTCTGAAACTACTCATACAACCATATTAACAAACTCTTTTCTGGCATAAATAATGTCTCCACAACTAAGCATATCTGTCTTGGGTGCTAAATGGGAAACTATGGACTGCCTATGCTTAAAAAACTACCTCAGTGGCTATTTTAAAAAACAGAATTCACTTAGAATGGTCCAGAACAAAGACTCTGTTGCCTACTTTCTTCCCCAATTTCAGTTATGTCCTTCCATTCACTGAGCATTTACTGGGTCCTAAATTGAATGCTGGGGATATAATCAATCACAAATAGATCAACAGAATATAACAAAATAGAGAGTATACAAATAGGCCCACATATACATGGTCAAATGATTTTCAATGAGGCCACCAAAGCAATTTCAAAAGTGAAAATCTCAATGATGAGAAAACTGTAATACATATAGAAATACACATAAAACAAAAAATCCTCAATTAAAAAATGGGTGAAGCACCTAAACACTGAACAAAAGAAAATACACAAAGGGTCAATAAGCATATGACTCAATACCAACAGTCATCAGAGTAATAAAAAAACTGAAACCATGAGATTTCACTACATACTTGAAAGACTGGGCAAAATGATGAGATGGGCAATGCCAAATGTTGCAAGGATGTAAAAAAAAAAAACCATAACACTAGAATGCTGGGAATGCAGAATGATACCAACACTACGGAAAACCACTTGCAAGTTTTAAAAGTTAAATATACATCTACCCTATAACCTTGCAATTGCATTCCAAGATATTATTTATTCAAGAGAAAGGAAAGACAAATACGTCCACAAAAGTACTAGATGAGAGTATGTATAGCAGCTTTATTCTTATCAGCCAAGAGCTGGAAACAGCCCAAGTGTCCACCAGTGGGAGAACGGATAATCTGGCAGTTTTGCAACTGAATAGTTCTCAGCAATAAAAAGGAACTACTGATACATGCAATGACAAGAATGAATCTTAAAAATGCTGTGCTGAGTAAAAGAACCCAGTCACAAATGAGTTTATAAGGTATGAATAGACAGACTTAATTTATGGTGGCAGAAATCAGGGCAGCGGTTGTTTTGGAAAGGGGGGTTGGCTGGGAAAGGCATGGGGGAGCTTTCTGGGGTGATGCAAGTGTTCTATCGACAAGTGCATGGCTGTGAGCATAAATGATGCCATCTTGGGCCCATACAGTTCTTCCTGTCCTCCTGCTGACCCCACCCAGAACTTACTGTGTGGTAAATCACTTTTCTATTGTCAAGGGTTTTTATTAATAGTTAATAGATATTGTTTAACAACCATTAGGTCCAGGAGACCTCCATGCTCTGTTAGTTGTCAAACAATGAAGACCTTTGCTGATGTATTCCCAGCACCTACTGGTTACCCATTCATAAATCTTGACTTAGGAATGTACTTCCTACTTCCAAGCACAGACCCCCATACTCTAGGTTAACTATAAAACTGCTGCAACGGCTTCATGAAGGTGCAGTGTAGCTGTGAATGCTTCAGGACTGCTGACTGCCAGATCCCACTCTGTAAGTGACCCTATAATAAACTGGTCCACTGGGTATACGGATGGAGTTGTCCACCTTGATTACTCATCTCAAGATGCTTCTCAGGGACATCCCTCATGGTATGGTGGATAAGAATCCACCTGCCAATGCAGGGGACATGGGTTCAATCCCTGGTCCGAGATGATTCCACATGACATGGGCCACCCATGCCCCACAACTACCGAAGCCTGCGTGCCTAGAGGCTGAGCTTAGTCAGCAACAAGAGAAGCCACTGCAATGAGAAGCATGTGCACTGCAACAAAAGCAGCTCCCATTCATCACGACTAGAGAAAGCCCATAAGCAACAACAAAGACTCAGTGCAACCAAAATTTAAAAAAAAAAAAAAAAAAAAAAGATGACTTCTCAGTTTGGTGGGCACTTTTTGTTCCCTTGGACCTTCAACAACAGGGATGTGGGTCATGTGAATGTATGCATTTGTCAAGACTGACTAAATTATACACTTAAATCCATTTCACGGCATGTAAATTGTATCTCAAAAACTTTCTTAATAGATTCTGGCCTCACTGAATTTTCAGAATCAATGAAAGAGACTGATCTGTAAGCAGTGAAGTTATAATACAACGTATAACCCACTCTGCCACCCCTCTCCACCAAAAAATGCACTTCTAATATTGGCCAAGAAAGAGAACAGGGAAAAACTCTAGCTTTCTGGAAATTAGTGACTGAAATTTCAGATTAACTGCAATTTAAAGCCAAATACACTTAGCCTTAACTGTACCATATAGTCTTTTTTGATTCTGGTTCATTGTATTCCAAGAAAATATTACTTGAAGATCTCTACTCTAAAAATTTACTTGGCAGTTATCCATAAAGGGTTAACAAGGTGCCCCAGGCCTGTATGGACAGAGTAAGAGCATGGCTTACCAGGTGGTACCTAAGAAGCGTCCTGATGGATGCCACGTTACACGGGCCACACGCACTGTGTGGCCTTCAATATCTGCCACCGGTTCATCACTGAAAAGGAACCAAATATTCTAAGTAAACTATTTTACAGTCATGCAAATATTCACTGAATTTTTTTTCTAACTGTTGAGCACACAGGCACTCATTCTGCATGGGTTGACAGGCCAAACTGTACCTGTCATCTGTTAAAATTTTAGGGCCAACAATAACCTAACCACTCCCCAAGGTTATAAAAGCTTCGGGGCTGTCACACGTGTCCACAGGGAAACTGCCCGCTTTTTGCTGCTCAGTGGCTCAGCTGTGTGCTACTCTTTGCGACCCCGTGGACTGCAGCGCGCCAGGCCTCCCTGCCCTTCACCATCTCCCGGAGCTGGCTCAGACTCATGTCCACTGAGTCAGTGATGCCATCCAGCCATCTTGTCCTCTGTTGTCCCCTTCTCATCCTGCTTTCAATCTTTCGCAGCATCAGGGTATTTTCCAATAAGCCAGTTCTTCTCATCAGGTGGCCAAAGTATTGGAGCATCAGCATCAGTCCTTCCACTGAATATTCAGGGTTGATATCCTTCAGGATGGACTGCTTGGATCTCCTTGCAATTCAAGGGACTCTCAAGAGTCTTCTCCAAAATCACAGTTCAAAAGCATCAATTCTTCGGTGCTCAGCCTTCTTTATGGTCCAAATTTCACATCCATAAATGACTACTCTGTTAGCAAAGTAATGCCTCTGCTTTTTAATATGCTATCTAGGTTTGTTATTGCCTTTCTTTCAAGAGGCAAGTGTCTTTTAATTTCAAGGTTGCAGTCGACATCTACAGTGATTTTGGAGCCCAAGAAAATAAAGTCTGTCACTGTTTTCATTGTTTCCCCATCTATTTGCCGTGAAGTAATGGGACCAGATGCCATGATCTTAGTTTTTTGAATGTGAATTTTAAGCCAGCTCTTTCATTCTCTTCTTTCACCTTTCATCAAGAGGCTCTTTAGTTCCTCTTCGCTTTCTCCCATAGGGGTGGTGTCATCTGCATAGCTGAGGTTCTTGATATTTCTTCCTGCAATCTTGATTCTGGCTTGTGCTTCTTCCAGCCCAGCATTTCTCATGATGTACTCTGCATGTAAGTCAAATAATCAGGGTGACAATATACAGCCTTGACGTACTCCTTTGTAAATTTTGACCAGTCTGTTGCTCCATGTTCGGTTCTAACTGTTGCTTCTTGACCTGCATACAGGTTTCATAGGAGGCAGGTCAAGTGGTCTGGTATTCCCATCTCTTTCAGAATTTTCCACAGTTTGTTATGATTCATACAGTCAAAGGTTTCAGTGTAGTCAATGAACCAGAAGCAGATGCCATAGCACTTCAATAAACACTGTCCTTCTATTTCAGTTTACTATGGCAACAAACTCTTAATTCTATACCACTTAAGATTAAGAGAAAAATAAAAGATACTTCAACATAACAAGCAAAATAATTTCTCTGAACCACAGGACTGCTGAGATTCTAGAAAGAAACATACTTTGATAGAGATGCAGGGCGATATCAAACAGTTCTGGTCCAAGTGGATTATAGATAATTTCATTTCAAACTTCAGCTTGTTCAAGGATCCACATGAAAGAAGAACTCCTAAACAGAAGCTTAATTTCTTTTCAGTAGCCATTAAATTCTACTACCAGCAACAGCGGAAAGAAGATCTGAAACACCAGTGAAAGGAAATAAACACAAACCCTAAAGAGGGCAATTAAAAAAGGAACACTGTTAATGTGCATACACAGAACTAATCAAAGCCCTAGGGGAACAAATATTGCTAGGTATTACCAAAGCCAATTAAAACGTGCTGTGCTCACAGGTAAGATCCGGTCTAGCAGAGTGGAGACACTAATTAGCTCCTCACAAAATCCTAGAACAAAAGCCTCATGTACTTTCCCAAAGAAGGAAAACCAAGCAACTGAATTCAGAAGTCTTTTAGACAACAAGGTACTTCTAACTATTTCTGGGAAAACAATAAATAATCAAAAACACACTAAAACAGACAAACCTGTTGTAATTGGAAAATATGGTTTAGGTAAAGGATGACGATGTTGGGAGGAGACTTGGCAATACTGCTAGCCATAATCTTCTTTCCCTCCCCTGTGGCTGTTTGCTAAGAACCAATGTGCTGTCTGGAGTATTATTTTCAGTCAATCTACCAAACAGTGCATTACTCCAAAGTCAATCTATTGCATGGCAGGTATAATGGATCGTTCCAGAATAATTGGAGCCAGGAAACAGCGGTCACTATAGTAGAGGCAAAACCAAGGTACAGAGTACCAGGTCCCTAGGGCCAACCCATCAACTATTAACTGTGGTGACGGCCGTGCGGACAGAGCAGTAAATATTCACCTGTCAAGGCTCCACAGCTTCACAGAACCGTCAGCAGCACAAGAGGCCAGATTGACGTCTTTTTGGTCCAAGGAGACTGTGGATTTGGGGTGGAATACGATCGCTCCCACGTTTGTGTTATGGCCTGAAGGAGTGTAAAAGATGGAAATTAAAGGGCTGCTGCTCCATTATAACTTGTGTAAATATACATAATGAGGAATATTATGTATACATAGTTCAGAAAAAGTGAACCTATAAAGTATTAAAGTAGTTCTTCAACTACTAAAAAATTGAACTTTTAAAATTTAAACTAACGTATAAATTACATTAAAAAAAAAAGCTAAACACACCAAAAAATGCTTCTTGCTTTAGAGACTGTAAATGCCAGAGTGGGGCTGGACATGAGAGAGAAATATATGCATATAACGTCATTATCATTCAGCCTTGCAGTCGAGGAGAACCAAACCAAGTCAGATCATTTCAAGAATTAATCATGTGTGTACTGGGTTTGAGTGTCTGGTAGAGCTTCAAGAGTTATACTGCTTGATAGAGCTCTAATTGGGAAAAAGACCGAGATTTAGGTAAGAGTATGACCCACCTCGAAGAGTATGAAGGAGGTTGCAATCAGGAACAGACCAGAGCTTGCAAAGCCCACTCCTATCAAACACAAAGGAAAGCATCTCAGCCAGGGTTGGTCTGGGAAGGAAAAGGTATCTTGGTAACATTACTAAAGGACAACTTCTTCTTACCCCCCAAAACCGTTACAGTGGCAGACAAAACAGAAAAGGCTTATCATTTGAAGGGTTGTGTAGGAAAGCTACAGCCAGGTCTGAGGCAAATAAAGGCCTCCACTGGACTATAAATATTACAGCACAAGCTGCTCTTCTTAACTTTTGGACCAATTTCTAGGGAAAGTAGGACAAATTAAACTATCTAACTGTAAAATTAATAATGATATTATCTCCTTAAATATGAATAGCATATTACTACTTACAAAGTAATTTTTAAAAACTGCTTTATTTTGAAAAATTCCAATAAATTACTTTTTTATCATCTCAAATGATCCTTATGACAGACTTGTGAGGTCCCTAAGATAAGTAAAGACGCTTTACTTGTGTATTCACTTTATTTTCTGTGATTAACTTTTTAAACAGAGTATAGATGACTTATAATGTCGTGTCAGCTTCTGCTGCACAGCAAAGTGAGCCATCGCTACTTTATAATAAAGAGAGCTGAGGCCTGAAGAGGTGGACGGATCTATGTAGGCCCTGGTTTCCTCCTGATGGCAGTCTTGATTTCTGCCTGGTCAAGTAGCTTCTGTGTGTACGGTGTAAGGAAGACTGCCCCTCACTAGACGACAATGTCCCACAAGGACAACTGAGTAAATGAGCAGAACAAAACAACGAAGCTTTCACATCCGGAAGGTTTTCTGCATATGCGATGGCAAAAAGCAAACAGAATAAACACAAAAACAGTAATTCGCTTTACTTTACAGATAAAGAAACTGAAGCTTACAGAGATGAGGTATCTTGCTTAGGTCACATAACTAGAAAAGAAAAGCTATATCAAAGTGTATATAGTTAGTCCATAAACTCCCTCTACTAATATATCTGCTCCAAAATGATGCTAATGCCAAGAATATGACTTGACACATGCTAATTGAAAGCTCTGTTATAAACTACAATGGGTACATATTAGCATCTCTAGTTTGATGTGATCATGAGCAGCAGAGGAAAATGGGATAGCAATGGCCTTCTATTTATTTTTCACCTTTTTTTTGAGAGTCACTCAGTCGTGTCCGACTCTGCGACCCCATGGACTATACAGTCCACGGAATTCTCAAGGCCACAATACTGGAGTGGGTAGTCTTTCTCTTCTCCAGGGGATCTTCCCAACCCAGGGACTGAACCCAGGTTTCCCGCAATGCAGGCAGATTTTTAACCAGCTGAGCCACCAGGGAAGCCAAGCAATGGCTTTCTAAAACAAAAGTTGACTTTCCCCCCAGAACCTCATTTAGGGAAAACAAAACAAAACAAAACAAAATGGGACTTACCAACAAGCCGTGGCCAGCATTTTGGAATCGGGGCTAAAGTGACAGTAGGAGATAGGCCGATCATCCCCAATCTGACTGCAGAAATTATTCAAAGACTTAAAAAAAAAAAAGACAAACAAGGAATCATTAAACGCTAACACAAGACTTTCTTGGCTTTTCCACCATTTAAAAAAAAAAACCTTGTCAGTTTTAACCCACCCTAAGATTCCCCACCCCTCCTTTTTGGTCAGGAGACACTTCTACAAATGAATGAATGAATGAATGAATGAACAGAGTCAAGGCTTATCTGGAACTCCCCCATGCTGTCATCTGCTGTCATCTGCAGTCTGTGTCGCTAGCTTCTCTGTCAGCTAAAGATAAACCAGAAAGCCATGGCAAGATCTAAAGCACAGTCTAACATATTAAAAGGGATTAAAGCACAGGAACCATAGGCCTCTGCCTGGTACAAAGGACAGTAGGTCCCCTGCCACCTTAACTGATGGATCCTCCCAAGCAGCAACAGTGCAAGCAAAGATGATGATGTACAGCTGCCTTTATTTGCCAGAGGCGGGCCAAGGTAGACCATTTAATAAATACTGCAGAAATCTTTAAGACACTGGGCAATCGCTGACAGCGTCTTACTCGGAGAGATTTGTGCAGCTCTTGCATCTGGGAGGTTCTAGTTGTCTCAGGAATCTCTTTATGGAGACGGGCCTCTTCCAAGCGTTTCATTGCCCTGTAACACAAAAAACATTACCCTGGGCAAACAGGCTGGAAACAAGGGTCCACAGAAGTCTCTGTACCACTCAATTTCAACCAACAATCACAGTCATAATAAAGCAGATCCTCAGTCCCTGAGAGGAAATAAGAAGTATGCTTCTTCCTCCTTCTCAAATTTCTCCTTACCTGGGCAGTGAGTAATTAGCAATCCACAATCTAGCAACCTTCAGGCTGTTTGGTCCTTCATGGTACCAGGTCTGCTGATACTGAAAGTTAAATAAGAGCAGAAGTGTCAAACCTGAAGCATCGCTGCCTCTTTCATAGCTATCAATTCCCTACTGTAACTGCCCAGAAGAAAGGTGAATTAGTTCAGTATAATATGATGAAATCCGGGATATGCACTTTCTGCTGTGTTTCTTTCTATGAGTTCTTATTGGATGGTTTCTGGTTCCTTTTTAAAAGGAAAACCAGGAATGCTGTGCTTCTTTCCTGAAATGGGAAACTCGCTTACCTCCGTTTGTATCTACAAAGGAACCACAAACAACTCCCAACAACTATTCCTCAACAGCAGTCTCCAACCCCTGCTCTGCCTCTCATCCGAGGCAAAGCAAAACTCTGAGAACAGAAAACAAGAGAACTGCCCCCTTGTTTCCTGCATGCTTACACTATGAAGCCAAGGACGTATTTTACCTCTTCTTTGGACTTCTTTGATTTCTCATCATCTTTTTTGGTCTTTTTTAAGGCATCAGTACCGACCACTGAGAGGATATTTCTTAACCTATAACAAAGAAGATCAGAATTTAAATAGGGTTGAGATAAGGTAAAGTAAGACCTTCACTTTACTTCACTCAGTGCCACAGTGTGTTGGATACTCTTGATGCGTTAAGTATAAAAAATGACTAAGAAACAGCCCTTGACTTCACAGGGTGCTACGGGGAATCATGAGTAAACAACCTAGACTTGGAGGGAATCAGCGAAGGCCTTATGGAGAAGATGCTCTCTAAACTGAGACCTCAATCAACCAAGTCACTAGGTCAAGAATGTTCGGAAAGGACAGCTAAGGCACAGGGTTCAACAAATGTGAAGGTCTAGAGGCAAGAAAAGCATGTTGAGCCTGGAATCAAAACAGTTCAGTATGGCTGGAGCATGGGGTACTGGGAAAGGCTGAGAGAGAGAAATGGCTGCCAATCGAAGGAGGGACCAGGTCACAATGCATTCCTAATGCCATGGTGAGGAGGGTTCACACTAGAGAAAGACTCCTGGAAAAGTATGGAGAATAGATTAAGGAGGGAAGAACAAAGGAGGGAACTCAGTATACTGTGGTATCCTCCCACTTGAGTCTTAATGGACTGAATAAGACAGTGGCGGGGAAGACTCAAGACATTCACCTAAGGGAATGTCTTCATTCACAAACAGTAAAAGTATATCCTTTGCAAGGCTATTAACAAAGTAACATACCATGATAGAGCATAATGTTGGGGCTTACTTTACCAGGGATCAGAGGTTAGGAAGGGCTTCTTTAAGGAGGTGGCATTTATGCTGAAACCAAAAGAATTAAAAAGCTCTAAAAGGAAAGAGCTCAAGCATTCTTGCCTAGAAAATCTGTGGACAGAGGAGCCCGACAGGCTACAGTACACAGGGTCCTAAGAGTTAGACACAACTTAGTAACTATATCATAACACAAAAGGCAAGAGAGGAGAACAAAAAAAGGAAAATTAAGTCTAAAGACAGAAAAAAAAAAAGCTTGGGTATCCTAAGAGGACCATTATGGCTACTGAGTCTAGTAAACTGGGAAGAGTGGTACAAGGTAAGGATGAAGAGCATGTCAGGAGTTTTTCACTCTAAGTTTAGTAAGAGACACTGTAGGATTTTAAGCAAACAAACAATACAGCACATCTGGGGTTATTACAATAGTCTAAATTTGAAACTAGTGGAGGGAGAGAAAAGCGGACATCCTGGAGGTACATTTCAGAAGTAGAATAAACAAGATTTTGCTAATGGGTAACACAGAAGGTGACATAGGTTTTTAACTGAAAACTGTGTGAACGGTTGAGTTATTTGCAAAGAAAAAAGGATGGTAAATAGATGAGTTCAATGTCAGTTCACTTCAGTTCAGTCGCTCAGTCTTGACCCCATGGACTGCAGTATGCCAGGCTTCCCTGTCCATCACCAACTCCCAGAGTTTACTCAAACTCATGTCCATTGAGTCAGTGATGCCATCCAATCATCTCATCCTCTGTGGTCCCCTTCTCCTCCTGCCCTCAATCTTTCCCAGCATCAGAGTCTTTTCCAATGGGTCAGTTCTTCACATCAGGTGGCCAAAGGATTGGACTTTCAGCTTCAGCATCAGTCCTTCCAATGAATACTCAGGAATGATTTCCTTTAGGATGGACTGGTTGGATCTCCTTGCAGTCCAAGGGACTCTCAAGAGTCTTCTCCAACACCACAGTTCAAAAGCATCAATTCTTCGGTGCTCAGCTTTCTTTATAGTCCAACTCTCACATCCATACATGACTACTGGAAAAACCATAGCCTTGACTAGACAGACCTTTGTTGGCAAAGTAATGTCTCTGCTTTTTAATATGCTGTCTAGATTGGTTGTAACTTTTTTTCCAAGGAGTAAGCATCTTTTAATTTCATTTAACATAGGTCCAAGAATAAGGTAAATTGGAAGTGGTCGAGCAGGAGATGGCAAGAATAAACATCAACATCTTAGGAATCAGTGAACTAAAATGGATGGGAATGGGCAAATTTAATTCAAATGACCATTAAATCTACTACTGAGGGCAAGAATCCCTTAGAAGAAATGGAGTAGCCATCATAGCCAACGAGAGAGTCTGAAATGTAGTACTTGGGTGCAATCTGAAAAATGACAGAATGATCTTGGTTCGTTCCCAAGGCAAACCATTCAATATCACAGTAACCCAGTTCAAGCCCCAACCACTGAAGCGAAGAAGTTGAAGCTAACCAGTTCTATGAAGACCTATAAGACCTTCTAGAACCAACACCAAAAAAATATGTCCTGTTAATCACAAGGGATTGGAATGCAAAAGCAGCAAGTCAAGAGATACTTGGAGTAACAGGCAAGTTTGGCCTTGGAGTACAAAATGAAGCAGGACAAAGGCTAACAGAATTCTGCCAAGAGAATACACTGGTCATAGTAAACCCCTTTTCCCAACAACACAAGGGACAACTTTACGTGTGGACATCACCAAATGCAGATTGATTTTATTCTTTGCAGTCGAAAATGGAGCTCTATCCACTCAGCAAGAACAAGACCTGGAGCTGACTGTGGCTCAGATCATCAGCTCCTTATAGCAAAATTCAGGCTTAAACTAAAGAAAGCAGGGAAAACCACTAGGCCATCCAGATACAACCTAAATCAAACCTCCATAATCATACAGCGGAGGTAACAAATAAAGATTTAAGGAATTAGATCTGGTAAACAGAGCTGAAGAACTACGGACAGAGGTTCATAATACTGTACATGGGCACTGACAAAAACCATCCCAAAGGAAAAGAAGTGCAAGAAGGCAAAGTGGTTGTCTGACAAAGCCTTACAAATAGCCGAGGAAAGAAGAGAAGTGCAAAGCAAGGGAAAAAGGGAAAGGTATACCCAACCGAATGCAGAATTCCAGAGAATAGCAAGGAGAGAGAAGGCCGTCTTCAATGAACAATGTGAAGAAACAGGAAAACAGAAGGGGAAATACTAGAGATCTCTTCAAGAAAACTGGAGATATCAAAGGAACATTTCATGCACAGATGGGCACAATAATGGACAGAAACAGTAAAAACCTAATAGAAGCAGAAGAGAGCACGAAGAGATGGCAAGAATACACAGAAGAACTGTACAAAAAAGATCTTAATGATCTGGATAGCTATGATGGTGTGGTCACTCACCAAGAGCCAAACATCATGGAGTGTGAAATCATGAGGGCCTTTGGAAGCACTGCTGCCAATAAAGCTAGCGGAGGTGATGGAATTCCAGTTGGGCTATTTGAAATCCTAAAAGATGATGCTATTAAAGTGCTGCATTCAGTATGTCAACAAATTTGGGAAAACCCAGTAGTGGCCACAGGACTGAAAAAGGTCAATCTTCATCCTAATTCCTAAGAAGGGCAATACTAAAGAACGTTCAAACTACCAGACAATTGTGCTCACTTCTCAAGCTAGTAAGGTTATGCTGAAAATCCTGTAAGCTAGGCTTCAGCAGTACCTGAATGGAAACTTCCAGATGTACAAGCTGGATTTAGAAAAGGCAGAGGAAACAGAGACCAAATTGCCAACATTCGCTGATCATAGAGAAAGCAAAGGAATTCCAGAAAATTCTGTTTCACTGACTATGCAAAAGCCTTTGACTGTGTGAATCACAACTGTGAAAAACTCTTAAAGAGATGTGAATACCAGACCATCTTACCTGACACCTGAGAAACCTATATGCAGGTCAAGAAAACAACAGTTAGAACCTTATATGGAATAAATGACTGGTTCAAAATTAAGAAAGAAGTATGACAAGGCTGTATACTGTTATTCTGCTTATTTAACTTATATGTAGAGTACATCATGGAATTGCCAGGCTAGATGACTCACAAGCTGGAATCAAGATTGCTGGGAGAAATATCAACAACCTCAGATATGCAGATGATACCACTCCAATGGCAGAGAGTGAGGAGGAACTAAAGAGCTTACTGATGAGGGTGAAAGAGAGAGTGAAAAAGTCAGCTTGAAACTCAGTACTAAAAAATCTAATTAGATGGCCTCTAGTCTTAACACTTCATGGCAAAGAGAAGAGGAAAAGGTGGAAGCAGAGACAAATTTCCTCTTCTTGCGATGGGGAAAATCACTGCGGATGGTGCCTGCAGCCACAAAATTAAAGATGATTGCTTCTTGGAAGGAAAGCAATGATAAACCCAGACAGTATATTAAAAAGCAGAGATACCATTTAGCTGAAAAAGGTCCATACAGTCACAGCTATGGTGTTTCCAGTAGTCACATATGCACATGAGAACTGGACCATAAAGAAGGCAGAGCACTGAAGAACTGATGCTTTCGAACTGTGCTGCTGGAGAAGGCTCTTGAGAGTCCCTTGGACAGCAAGATCAAACCAATCAATCCCAAAGGAAATCAACCCTGAATATTCACTGGAAGGACTGATGCTGAAGCTGAAGCTCCATACACTGGACACCTGATGAAAACAGCCAACTAACTAGAAGAGACCCTGATGCTGGGAAAGACTGAAGACAGCAGGAGAAGAGGGCAACAGAGGATGAGATGGTTGGATGACATCATCAATTCAATGGACATGAACTTGGGCAAACTCCAGGAGATGGTGAGGTACTGGGAGGCCTGGTGTGCTACAGTCCCTGGGGTTGCAAAGAGCCAGACACGACTTGGTGATTGACAAACAACAACAACAACAACAACCAACTTAGAGATGTCAAATTTGAGACTACAGAATAGCTAGGCTATAGAGACCTGGGAGTCATCAGACTCCATGCCATGGGAGTCCATATAAACCATGCCATGGGAATGGACCTGATCCCTCATGGTTGGTGTAAAGTAAAGTAAAGTTGCTCAGTTGTGTCTGACTCTTTGTGACCCCATGGACTGTAGCCTACCAGGCTCCTCTGTCCATGGGATTTTCCAGGCAAGAGTACTGGAGTGGGTTGCCATTTCCTTCTCCAGGGGATCTTCCTGACCCAGGGATCGAACCTGGGTCTCCAGCATTGCAGACACACGCTTTACTGTCTGAGCCACCAGGTGTAGGACAAGGACAAACAACAGTGGTTTATAAAGGTTATGCAGGGGGAAAACGAGGCTTAGAAGAATTAGCTAAAGAAACAGGAGGAAAACCAGGAGGATTGGGTTTTATGGGAGCCAAGGAAAGGGAGTGTTTGAAGGATGGAATAGGTGGCAGTGTACTAGGGATATTCTTAGTAAAGATGAGGTGATAACCTTAATGAACAGCCATTTCAGTGTGGTAGTGGTCAATCAGTTTGCACTGGGTTGAAGAGTGGTAAGGGCCTTAAGAGGGTAAATGTAATAAGTGAGGAACAGTTGAGCCCCAAGTCCTGAAGAGGCAGGCAGGTCACATCCTTGTAACTGCACACGACTAGCCTGTCACTGAGAGATTTTGGAACTTCAGAATCACAAGAGTAGCATTATCTGAGGACAGTACCTCTTTTCAATAACATCCAAAAAACACTTACCATCATGTTTTATGTTAATGACAAAAAACACGTCTGCTGTTTAAATTTTCAGAGTTCAGTGACAAATTTTACCAACTCAAAACTGCACACTGAGGAGAGGAAGGGGAGGGAACATGTTAACATCTTCACTTTACAAAGAAAAGTTAATAGAGGAGAATAAATTGGCTTAAGACTTAGATTATGGACTAAACCATATTCATACAACTTAGTAAGATATTCTGTCAACATTATGTGAGACATTCTATTAAAGTTTTAGCTACAAATACCAACTAAATAATGGCAGAAAGTGAAGAGGAACTAAAGAGCCTCTTGATGAAAGTGAGAGAGAGTGAAAAAACCTGGCTTAAACTCAACATTAAAAAAATGAACATCATGGCAAACAGGGAAAAAGTGCAAAATGTCACATTTCATTTTCATGGGCTTCAAAATCAATGTGGATGGTGACTGCAGCCATGAAATTAAAAGACACTTGCTCCTTGGAAGAAAAGCTATGACAAACCTAGACAGTGTATTAAAAAGCAGGGACATCATATTGCCGAAAAAGGTCAGTATAGTCATGGTTATGGTTTTCCCAGTAGTCATTTATGGATGTGGACCGTAAAGAAGGGAGATTACCGAAGAATTGATGCTTTTGAACTGAGGAGTTGGAGAAGACTCTTTTTTTTGGGGAGAAGACAATCTTGAGAGTCCCTTGGACAGCAAGGAGATCCAACCAGTCAATCCTAAAGGAAATCAACCCTGAAAATTCATTGGAAGGACTGATGCTGAAACTGAAGCTCCAATACTTTGGCCACCTGATGTGAAGAGCCAACTCATTGGAAAAGACCCTGATGCCGGGAAAGATTGACGGCAGGAGGAGAAGAGGACGATAGGATAAGACAGTTGGATGGCATCACTGTCTTAATGGACATGAGTTTGAGCAAGCTCCAGGAGACAGTGAAGGACAGGGAAGTTCATGGGGTCAGAGAGTCGGACATGACTTAGTGACTGAACAACAATAACTAAAATTTGGAACTATAACCCTGTGATTAAAAAAGAGTAAGTTCTTAGGAAGGGTACCTTTCTCTTCTTTCAGCAGGACCTTCTCCAAAAAGTGTGATGGGTTCCCCCAAAGCTCTAAGGCAAGCTTTGACCTCTGAGTCGTCTGTGGAAACGTTGATTTGCCGAGCTCGCTTCCTTCTCTCAAACTCTGCTAACACTTCTGCCTGTCTCTCACTGATGTGCTCTTCAATTTCAAACACTTCTCCTGTAAACAGAGCAGGCAATATCAGCATAATCACCAATCTCCTTCAATTAGGGAGAGAGAAATAAGTTCTTAAAACTGGAGTCTGCTTGCCTCTAGGAACACTTAACTAATCTACTAGAAATCTTATAGTTTCTCAGTTCATTAAAGTATGCCAAACACAGAAAACTAAATGAGGTTTTAAAGCCAGAGACTGGTTCAAGTCATCTTGTTTCATTTGGCAACTTACACTTACATAAACACACAGCTTTCATGAGATAATGAGAATATAGAGCACTTTTAACAAGTTAACTAGGCTTTCTATCCATGGAAATATAGAAACCTTATTTTAACAGTCGTCAAGGTTACTTTCTGAAACAGTTTCAGTATAGGAACACTAACAAACGTGACAATAAACTGGAAATAATTACCATGAAAATGGTAAGCTTTAACTGTAAGGCTTTTTGGATAATCTAGTAGCTAGTTTTAAAATTCACATAAAAAACAAGCATTTGGATGTGAAGTGAGAAGTACAGTAGTGATGCAGTCATGTTTAAAATAACATAAAAGGTTTAAAACTCATAAAAAGTGCATGTGTATAGAAAAGGTGTGGAGAGTCGATGAGAAACTTGACAGAAGTCCTATCTGCAGAGAAGTCTTTTTATACCCTTCCATACTGTCTGAATTTCTTAAGACAAACATGAATGATTTTATTTTATAGTAGACTACTAGTTACTGGCATGAAAATATACCCTCAACAGTGTGTGCATACTTATTCGCGTACTTGTTTCCAACTCTTTGCGACCTGGTAGACTGTAGCCCACCAGACCCCTCTGTCCATGGGATTTTACAGGTGTGAAAATACTCGAGTAGGTTGCCATTTCCTCTTCCAGGGGATCTTCCCCACCCAGTGATCAAACCCACCTTGTCTCCTGTGCCTCCTGCATTGCAGGTGAATTCTTTACCCACTGAGCCATCGGGAAAGCCCCTTTAACAGTATTCAGAATGACACATGCAGGTTATAAAACAATTTGTTTACGTGGTCTCAATTTATGGAAAAAAATGTATTTTTATAGCTTTATTAAGTTCTTGAAATGATATAGCCCCAATTAAAGACTACAAGTTTTACTACTTCATATATTTCTGTATTGTTTAATTGCTTTCAAAATATAGATGGCTACCACTTTAAAATTTAAAAGTGATCATTTCATTTCGGGTGAAAAGCAGTTGGAAAACTAAAACGAGGAGAATATTAGGAAATACAGTAGCTCCAAGTTAACGCCAGAACTACGCTAGATCTCCAGAAGACAAAGGGACTCACTCTGAATCCAAATACACACTGAATAATTTCCTAGTAAAATTACTAATAATTCATTGAAGAAAAACTGTATAAAAGGTTTTAAGAAAAAGGTTCTCTGGATGATAATACCAAGGCAGGTAGGCAGAGAAAATGGCCTTCGATAGGCGCAAGCTTATTATTTGAAGTTTTTTGACATAAACTAGTGATATTTAAGTTGAGGCAGGTAATCATTACAGAAAATTTGAGCACCAAAGGTAAAGATGAACTCACAATTTGCATCTTACCAGAGGTTATGTTAATGTTTCCTGCTTCAATTCCTGCTTTGAGTCCTTCTTTTCCCAAAAGCCCAGATTCTCCTTTGGCCAGACGCTCCCTCTCCTTCTCTTCCAAACTTCCATAATAGATGTGTGGTTTCTTCACAACAGGAGCCACTAAGTCATCTGGTGCCTTAGTTTTGGTTGCCTGCTAAAACAAAGACCTACATTAATTAACCTAAAGCTTAATCTTAGCAATCGAATAGGTTTCCCAGAAGAATGCAGCTTATTTAGAGCTTCAAACCTATTTCTTCCCCCACACAAAGGACAAACCAGACACCAGTTAAAATGTGTCTTCCTTGATCTGGGGGTGGAAGGAGAGTGGTTCCAGTCTCTTAATCATTTAAGTTTTGCAGACAGGAAGAGATGGATAAAATTAGTCAATTTCTTGCGCAGATTTTTCTGTCAGACAAGTTTTCTCTCGAACATGTTTGTTTCATACAGTTGCAGCAAGTGCAATCTCTTCTTGTCTTTTAAGAAATTTCCAGAATTACTGCTCATCACAGAGGATTTCAAGGATAACTGAAATAACCAACGCGATGGTACGGGGCACAAGTTAGAAAGTTACTGTTCATACATTTCAAACGTTTCGGACATGAAGCAGTAGATTAATATCTACTATTTAGGAGGCCTCGTTACATCTGAAACTGTCATAAATCTTGGCCAAGACTCTACTCCCTTTCAGAGCTCCGTTTCTGAACCAGACGGAAGAGATATTTACATTTCGGGGCTGTAGTGAGAGGTGACAATGAGCTAAAACAAATGAAAGCACTCAAGAATTAGGAAAACACCGCAGCCTTCCTCCTCGGCCCTCCACTGCCGTAGCCCGTTCCCTAACGGCCCTGTTTCGCAAAGACCCCCACCCCTCAGCGCTCCCTGCCAGAATGAGACCTGTACCGTGGAGGAGGGTCGTGAGGAAGCCATGCTGGGCTCCCGTGGCCGCGAAGCCCCAGGGAAAGCCGAGCTCTACGTTTCAGACTGTCCACCGCGCGCCCAGCAAGGCGGAACTACGTCACCGACCGGAAGTGGTCCGAGGGCCGACGCAGCATCCTGGGCGACGTGGAGCATTATGGGAATCGTAGTAGGAGGGAGTCTGGGGGAGTTGAGAGATGTGATCGGTAGAGCTTCCGAGAATAGCACGCGGAGGACAAGGTTCTGCGAAGAGAGAGACTCAGAGGCAGTGTGGGAAGTGTAGTCCAGTTGGCTTAGCGAATGATTCGGGGTGGTCGCCGAGGTTCCGGAAAGAGACTGAACAGGCCTGAAAAGAGGTAGGTGCGGCGAATCGCGCGGCTGCGGACTGAACTCAGGGAGCGAATCGAGGGTTTCCGGGGCCTGCTGTCGCTCCCGGCCCCGCCAGGGGCTCTAAGTCCTCCTGGAGCCAAGGACCATGTTGCCATGGAAACTCTCGCCCTGGACCCATGAGTGCAGCCCGGGAGCTGCGGCAGGAGTGCTGTTCTCCGCTGTCAGAAAGTTCTCTTGGCAGTTTCTGAGCTGGGTGGGTTTTCGGTGGATTTGGGCAGTGGTGAAACAATAAGCTCAAAGAGCCCTCTAGCGCCGACGTGAAATAAAGATCAGGCGAAGGAGCCACGCCCCAATTTTGCTGTCTTAGCAGGTCTTTCTATCTTATTCTCAGTGAGATGATGAATGTGAGGCGTCAGGTAAACTGCAAGCAAGCAACTTTGCACAACCCTGCTGCCCTGGGTGCTGGGGCATCAGAGGTGGACAAGACAAGATTTTTGTCCACTTGTAGGGAGTGAAAGTGAAAGTGAAGTCGCTCAGTCGTGTCCAACTCTTTGCGAACCCGTGGACTGTAGCCTCCCAGGCTTCTCTGTCCATGGGATTTTCCAGGCAAGAGTACCGGAGTGGGTTACCATTTCCTTCTCCTTGTAGGGGGTGGAGATGCTCAAAATACTGGTGTTTCCAGAGCTGGAAAGAGCCCCATCCCCGCCCCCCTCCCCACCCCCAGGCCTCTTTACGATAGTAATGGCTATTTACTGTGAAAAATTCTGAAAGAGATGGGAATACTAGACCACCTGACCTGCCTCCTGAGAAATCTGTATGCAGGTCAAGAAGCAACAGTTAGAACTGGACATAGAACAACAGACTGGTTCCAAATTGGGAAAGGAGTAGTCAAGGCTATATATTGTCACCCTGCTTATTTAACTTCTATGCAGAGTACACCATGGGGAATGTTGGGCTGGATGAAGCACAAGCTGGAATCAAGACTGCAGGGAGAAATATCAGTAACCTCAGGTATGCAGATGACACCACCCTTATGGCAGAAAGCAAAGAAGACTTAAAGAGCCTCTTGATGAAAATGAAAGAGGAGAGTGAAAAAGTTGGCTTAAAACTCCACGTTCAGAAAACTGAGATCATGGCATCTGGTCCCATCACTTCACAGCAAATAGATGGGGAAACAATGGAAACAGTGACAGACTTTTTTTGGGGGGGCTCCAAAATCACTACAGATGGTGACTACAGCCATGAAATTAAAAGACACTTGCTCTTTAGAAGAAAAGCAATGACAAACCTAGACAGCATATCAAAAAGGAGAGACACTACTTTGCCAACAAAGGTTCATCGAGTCAAAGCTTTGGTATTTCCAGTAGTCCTGTGTGGATGTGAGAGTTGGAATATAAAGAAAGCTGAGTGCTGAAGAATTGATGCTTTTGAACTGCAGTGTTGGAGAATACTCTTGAGAGTCCCTTGGATAGTAAGGAGATCCAGCCATTCCATCCTAAAGGAAATCAGTCCTGAATATTCAGTGGAAGGACTGATGCTAAAGCTGAAACTCCAATCTTTTGGCCACCTGATGCGAAAAACTGACTCACTTGAAAAGACCCTGATTCTGGGAAAGATTGAAGGCAGGAGGAGAATGGGATGACAGAGGATGAGATGGTTGGATGGCATCACTGACTCAGTGGATATGAGTTTGAGTAAGCTCCGGGAGTTGGCTATGGACACGGAAGCCTGGCATGCTGCAGTCCATGGGGTCACAAAGAGTCGGACACAACTGAGCAACTGAACTGAACTGATTGTTTACTAAACGCCAGGTTTTGTTACAGGAATTTACGTTGCAATATGACATTTAATCCATACAACAACAGATACAGAACAAGAAACCAAGATCTAGTGAAAGGTAAAGCCAGTTGTCCAAGATCAGTGGGGATAGAATTAGAACCTCTGCCTCCAATTGTTGTTCAGTTGCTCAGTCTTGTCAGACTCTTTGTGAACCTATGGACAGCAGCATGCCAGCCTTCCCTGTCCTTCACCATCTCCTGGAGTTTGCTCAAACTCCTGTGCATTGAATCGGTGATGCCATCAAATCATATCATCCTCTGTCATCCCCTTCTCCTCCTGCCTTCAATCTTTCCCAGCATCAGGGTCTTTTCTAATGAGTCGGCTCTTTGCATCAGGTAGCCAAAGTATTGAAACTTCAGCTTCAGCATCAGTCCTTACAATGAGTATTCAGGGTTGATTTTCTCTAGGATTGACTGGTTTGATCTCCTTGCTGTCCAAGGAGCTCTCAAGAGTCTTCTCCAGCACCACAGTTTGAAGGCATCAATTCTTTGGTGATCAGCCTTGTTTATTGTCCATCTCCCATATCCGTATATGACTACTGGAAGAACTGTAACTTTGACTGTATGAACTTTTGTAGGCAAAATAATGTGTGTGCTTTTAAATATGCTATCTAAGGTTGTCATTGCTTTTCTTCTAAGGAGCAAGTGTCTTTTAATTTCTGGCTGCAGTCACCATCCACAGTGATTTTGGAGCCCAAGAAAATAGTCTGTCACTGTTTCCATTGTTTCCCCATCTATTTGCCGTGAAATGATGGGACAGGATGCCATGATCTTCGTTTTTTGAATGTTGAGTTTTAAGTCAGCTTTTTCACTCTCCTCTATCACCTTCATTAAGAGGCTCTTTAATTCCTCTTCGCTTTCTGCCGTAAGTGTCATCTGCATATCTGAGGTTATTGGTATTTCTCCCTGCAGTCTTGATTCCAGCTTGTGCTTCATCCAGCCTGGCATTTCGCATGATGTATTCTGCATAGAAGTTAAATAAGCAGAGTGACAATGTACAGCCTTGACGGACTCCTTTCCCAGTTTTGAACCAGTCCGTTGTTTCATGTCCAGTTCTAACTGTTGCTTCTTGATCTACATACGGGTTTTTCAGGAGGAGGTAAGGTGGTTTGGTATTCCCATCTCTTTCAGAATTTTCCACAGTTTTTTGTCATCTACACAGTCAAAGGCTTTGGTGTAGTCAATGAAGCAGAAGTAGATGTTTTTCTGGAATTCTCTAGCTTTTTTCTATGATCCAAGGCATGTTGGCAATTTGATCCCTGGTTCCTCTGCTTGTACGTAAATTCAGCTGTGCATCTGAAAGTTCTCAGTTTACATACTGTTGAATCCTAGCTTAAAGGATTTTGAGCATTACTTTGGCTAGCATGTGAAATGAATACAATTGTGTGGTAGTTTGAACATTCTTTGGCATTGCTCTTCTTTGGTATTGGAATGAAAACTGACCTTTTCCAGTCCTGTGGCCGCTGCTGAGTTTTCCAAATTTGCTGGCATATTAAGTGCAGCACTCTACAGCATCATCTTTTAGGATTTGAAATAACTCAGCTAGAATTCCATCACCTCCACTAGCTTTGTTCATAGTGATGCTTCCTAAGTCCCACTTGACTTCACTCTTTAGGATATCTTTCTCTAGGTGAGTGATCACACCATCGTGGTTATCTGGGTCATTAAGATCTTTTTTTGTGTAGTTTTTCTATGTATTCTTGCCACCTCTTCTTAATATCTTCTGCTCTTGTTAGGTCCATACAATTTCTGTCCTTTACTGTGCCTATTTTTACATGAAATATTCCCTTGGTTTCTCTAATTTTCTTGATGAGATCTCTAGTCTTTCCCATTCTATTGTTTTCCTCTATTTCTTTCCCTTGTTCACTTAAAAAGGCTTTCTTATCTCTCCTTGCTGTTCTTTGGAACTCTGCATTCAAATGGGTATATCTTTCCTTTTCTCCTTTGCCTTTCATTTCCACAGTTTCCACATTTCCACAGCCTCTTCTTTTCTTAGCTGTTTGTAAGGCCTCCTCAGGCAACCTTTTTGCCTTTTTGCAATTATTTTTCTTGGGGAAGGTTTTGATCACTGCCTCCTATACAGTGTTACAAACCTCTATCCATAGTTCCTTAGGCACTCTGTCTATTAGATCTAATCCCTTGAATCTATTTGTCACTTCCACTCTATAATCGTAAGGGATTTGATTTAGGTCATACCTGAATGGCCTAGTAGTTTTCTCTTTGTTCTTCAATTTAAATCTGAATTTGGCAATAAGGATTCATGATCTGAGCTGTAGTCAACTCCCAGCCTTGTTTTTACTGACTCTATAGAGCTTCTCCATCTTTGGCTACAAAGAATATAATCAATCTGATTTCGATATTAACCATCTGGTGATGTCCACGTGTAGAGTCTTCTCTTGTGTTCTTGGCAGAGGGTGTTTGCTGTGACCAGGGTGTTTTCTTGGCAGTACTCTGTTAACCTTTGTCCTGTTTCATTTTGTACTCTAAGGCCAAACTTGCCTGTTACTCCAGTTACCTCTTGACTTCCTACTTTTGCATTCCAGTCCCCTGTGATGAAAAGGACATCTTTTTTTGGTGTTAGGTCTAGAAGGTCTCGTAGGTCTTCAGAGAACCATTGAGCTTCAGCTTCTTCAGCATTAGTGGTTGGGACATGGATTTGGATTACTGTGATATTGAATGGTTTGCCTTGGAAACGAAAAGAGATCATTCTGTCATTTTTGCGATTGCACCCAAGTACTGCATTTCGGACTCTTGTTGATTGTGAGGGCTACTCCATTTTCTTCTTCTAAGGGATTCTTGCCCATAGTAATAGATATAGTGGTTATCTGAATTAAATTTGCCCATTCCAGTCCATTTTAGTTCACTGATTCCTAAAATGTTGATGTTCACTCTTGCCATGTCCTGTTTGACCACTTCTAATTTACCTTGATTCATAGACTTAACAATTTACCTTGATTCATGGACCTTGGACTTCAAGGAGATTAAACCAGTCAATCCTAAAGGAAATCAGTCTTGAATATTCATTGGAAGGGCTGATGCTCCAGTACTTTGACCACTGATGTGAAGAACTGACTCCTTAGAAAAGATTCTGAAGGCAGCAGGTGAAGGGGATGACAGAGGATAAGATGGTTGGATGGCATCACTGACTCAATGAACATGAGTTTGAGCAAGCTGTCGGACTTGGTAATGGATGGAAGGCTGGTGTGCTGGCGTCCATGGGGTCACAGAGTCAGACATGACTGAGCCACTGAACTGAACTGACTGATGGACCTAACATTCCAGCTTCCTATGCAATACTCATCTTGACAGCATCAAACTTTACTTTCACCACCAGACACATCCACAACTGCGTGTTATTTCTGCTTTGGATCAGCCTCTTCATTCCTTCTGGAACTGTTTCTCTGCTCTTCTCCAGTAGCAATTGAACACCTACTGACCTGGGTAGTTAAATCTTTCAGTGTCGTATCTTTTTGCCTTTGCATACTGTTTATGGGGTTCTCAAGGCAATCGTGCTGAAATGGCTTGCCATTCCCTCTCCAGTGGACCACGTTTTGTCAGAACTCTCCACCATGACCCATCCGTCTTGGGTGGCCCTACACCACATGGCTCATAGAATCATTGAGTTAGGCAAGGTTGTGGTCCATGTGGTCAGTTTGGTTAGTTTCCTGTGATTATGGTTTTCATTCTTTCTGCCTTCTGACAGATGAGGATAAGAGGCTTGTGTAAGCTTCCTGATGGGGGGAACTGGCTGTGTGGCCAACTGGGTCTTGTTCTGGTGGGCAAGGCCATGCTCATTCCCCTGCAGAGCAGGCACTTTTATCTGTTACTCTATACTGCTTCCTAGTGGTGAGCTTTTCACAGTTTGCAGAAAGGTTAAAATGTGTCTCAGTTCTTTTAAGTATTCTCCACCCTTGGAACTTTGGCCTCCTGTACTTTTTTGTCTACTTTGGAATCACGATAATATTTGATTTAGTACAAAGCAATTTTAAATGTGATGTGCCGGTGTTTTGTATTGATAACATTATTTGTGTCTGTCCCAACCTTCATAGGAGGAGGAGACATTTCTTCCTTTGTGTATTTCAAAGTCCTGTCTATATCCTAGATACATATATTAATAATTTATATCTGTACATATATTTTTGGTGTTTGTTTGTTTTTTGCTTGGTAAGAAGTGGATTTATTTAGAGAGAAACACACTCCACAGAGTGTGGGATATCTGAGAAGGCAAGTGGGGCCTATACATATTTTACTTACATCATTCTCATGTAATCCTCTCCCTGTGACCTACGTACAATTTTTATAGGAGGGTGACTTTTTTTTTTTTGCCCCTTCTTGAGGCATGTGGATCTTAGTTCCCCAACCAGGAATCAAACTGGTGCCCACTGCAGTGGACACACAGCGTCCTAACCATTGGACTGTCAAGGAATTTCCCAGGAGGCTGACATTTATTAATCAAACTGAGCAGCTAAGACTTTATCTGAGCCAGCTTTATCTAAATAGGGGTAATTTTGCCAGCATCATGGTATTTCTGTGCTAAAGTAAACCTGAGATTGTAAAAAGAGTGTAGCACAGTGCTCAAGAAAAGTTCATTTCACTTTCTTTTTTTTTTGTTTGTTTGGATCTCTCAGTTTATTCAACAAAACATTTACTGACTGGTTATTATAGATGATCTCTACTGGATACCGTGAGGATATAAAGATGATGCCATCAACAGGTTTTAAACTCAATTGAGGAGTTTTATTTCCTTCTTAAAAAAAAACAAACAGCTTCTTCTTTTTTTTTTTTTTAGCATAAGCATTACTTTGGTTTTCAGATTCCAGAGTGTTCTCTTGAGCCTCTGTGCCTACTTATTCTCTCTGCCTGGGATGCCGTTAATCCCCCTTTTCTGCCTGTCCTTCAAATATCGACTTAGACATCATCTCCACATCCCTGTTCACCCCACTGCATTGGGTGCCTATGTGATGCCGTTACATTGCCCTCATCAAAGTTCTTACTACAGTATATTGTGATTTTCTATTTATGTTTGTTTTCCCCACAGACTGTGACTATGCCTTTTAACTCAGTAGCTGGAGCACAGGAACTGTTTGTTGAATGAATGACCTATCCATTGAGGACCTATTTAGACCTTGAGGATAACCCTGTGAACTGGTGAGTTAGAGGGAGTTTTCATACGATTTTGCAAACTGATGTTAGCATTCAGGAGTGATCACAAATCTCTCACAATCCCCACATAGTGTTGGTCAAATCTATTGGCTTGTATACTCTCCTACTGACTATACTGAATTAAAATGTGATATTTTAGCTTTATTCTCTTAACTAGAATATTTCTCTGGGAATGGACATGAGATTAAAGTGATTGATGCCTAGACTCCTCTTTTATAGGCAGCTTGCTATTTTAAGTTCTGGAAGAAAGAGATTTTTAGAATTACAGAGTTGTGGCTCTGCATCATGTAATAAAAATGTGATAATTATATCTCTAAGGACTTAGAAGCCAGTGTGTGATTCCAGCTGAGTCTTTGTATCACCATTTGTTTTTGTGTGCATGCTTACAAACTGATCTTACATTTGTAGCTGAGATTTATGCCTTATAATTTTTTCTCCTCTCTACCATTTTTAACAGCTAATAGTTTACTGGATCTGCCCTTTAGTGTTGATTTCATTATGCTGCGACGAAAACCAACCCGCCTGGAGCTGAAACTTGATGATATTGAGGAATTTGAGAGCATTCGAAAGGACCTGGAGGTAAGAGTACAACTTTCAAACCCTTAGGAATATTTAAAACAGTAACCCGTAACTTGTGAACTCCAGATTCTCATACCAACAGCTTGTTTGAAATCTATTTGGATGTTTTACAGGCATCTTAAACATAATGTATTAGCTTTCTGTGTCTGCTGGAATGAATTTCCACAAATTTGGTGGTTTCAAACAACAGCAATTTAGACTTTCACAGTTCTGCAGGCAAGAAATCTGAGATCAGTATCACTGATCCAAAATCAAGATGTCAGCAGGACTGCGCTCCCTCCAGAGACTGTAGGGGACAGTTCTGTTCCTTGACTGTTGCAGCTTCTGGTGGCCACTGGTATTCCTTGACTTGTGGCCACATCAGTCTGGTGTCTCCTTCTGTGATCACATCGTCTTCTCTGCCTGTCAAGTCTCCCTCTGCCCTCTCTTAACAAGTTACATGCATTGGCATTAATGGCCCACCCACATATTCCAGGGAAATGTCCCCATCACAGCATCCTTAATTCAATCACATCTACAAAGACCGTTTTCACATACAAGGCAACAGTTACAGGATTCAGAGATTAGGGCCTGATAGCTTTGGAGGTCATTATTCAGTGTACTACACTTAATATATTAAAAGAGAAAACTCTTGATTTATTCCTCGAACCATTTTTACCTCAGTATGCTCTATGTCAGTATCTATATAGTTGCTCACTCCATAATCCTGAGAGTCAATCTTGAGTTCTCCTTTTCCCTCACCTTTTATATTCAGTTTTTCCATAAATCCTTTGGTTCTACCTTCAGAATATTTCTAGTATCTGCCCATACCTTTTTTATCTCCACTGTTAGAACCCTATTCCAATAACCGTCACCTCACTGGACAATTCAAGTAGCATCCAAGTTGTCTCTCTATTTCCACTGTTGTGTCTTCAATCCTTTCTCCATTAGGTATCTATATAGAGTGATCTTTAAAAACTTTCAGCTCATGTTATTCTCATGCTTAAAACCCCTCAGTGGTTTCCTGAACCTGGAATAAAACCCCCATTCCTTATCATGCCTGCAAGTTTTTGTATGTTCTGGCCTCTCTCAGATTTCATTTTCTTTGCCTTGCCCTCTGTATCCTAGGCATATTGGTTTGCCTTTATTTCCTTGAACATGCCAGACTATTTATAACTCATGGCCTTTGGCACATGCTATTTTCCTCTGCCTGGAGTCCTTCCTCTTTCTTCATGTCTCAGTGTGAATGTGGCCTCCTCAGTCTGAGAGGCCTCTTCTGTCCAACTTCAGTGTTGTTTCATTCCTACCCATGCTCTCTCCATCTCATTAGGGTCTCTCAAAACACTTTATTCTTTTATTTCATAGCACTTATTATAATTTATAATGATTTGTTTGTTTATTGTAAAATCATTTACATTAGGAACGCTGATTGTAAAGATCATGTCTGTCTTCTCCACTGTTGAGTTCCCAGCATCTATTGGAGTTCAGAATTTTTTTTTTCTGGTTGGTACTTAGAGCAGCACCTTTTTTATTTTTTATTTTTTCTTTAGAGTAGCACCTTTAAATAGAGTGATAAAATCGAAATGATGTGTACAACAAATTTTAATGTCATTATAGGCCTTTCAAATGTCAGGAAGCCTCAAAGGGAAAAGGCCCGTGTGTCTGGTTCATGAATTTTGGTCATGAACCTTTTTTTTTTTTTTTTGACTTTTTTTTACATGTATTTTTTAAGCATAGCCTTACCCCACAGTATTAGATGTCAATCAGTAAGACTTAAATTCTTTATTGGCTTTCAGAATAAAGTCCAAATTCCTTAGGATGACATAAAAGGCCCTTTTGATCTGGTCCTCAGTCATCTCTCCACTTTATCTTCTCCTGACAAGTTATCTTTAATTTCAGTGGCAATAAACACTCTGTGCTCTTTCCCTGAAATGCCCTTTATGGTTTAAACTTCAGTTGTAATAAGTCTTATAAAGTGTTAGTCTCATACTGAAATTTGACCTTGCAGAGTCAGCTCACCATTGAGTTACTTTTTTTTTAATTGAGCTAATTCTTATCATTGAGTAGTGTTTCATGGGATATATATATATCTATATAGATATATATCTCTGTCTATCTCTCTATCTGGATAGATAGATATACATGCATCTGCTTTATCCACTCATCTGTCAAGAGACACTTAGGTTGTTTCCATATGTTGGCTGTTGTAAATGATGCTGTGATGAACATGGTGGTGAGCTCATCTTTTTGAAATAGTGTTTTTATTTTCTTTGGATATATACCCAGGAGTGGAATTGCTGGATCATATGGTAGTTCTACTCTTAACTTTTTGAGAAATCTCCATTCTTTTTTCCATAGTGGTTGTACCAGTTTACATTCTCACCAACAATGTGTGATTTCCTTTTCTCCACCTCCTCTCTAACACCTATTATTTGTCTTTTTGATAATAGCCATTCTAACGAGCATGAGGTGATATCATATTGTGGTTTTGATTTGCATTTCTCTAGTAATTAGTGATGTTGAACATCTTTTCTTATACCTGTTGGTCATCTGTATGTCTTCTTTGGAAAAATGTCTATTCAGATTCTTGGGTCATCTGTTTTTTTTGTTGTTGTTGAGTTGTATGAGATCTTTATATATTTGGGGTATTAATCCCTTATCAGATAAATTATTTGTGGCTACTTTCTCCCATTTGGTATCCTGTCTTCTCATTTTGTTGATGGCTTCTTCTGCTGTGCCAAAGATTTTTAGTTTGATATAGTCCCATTTGCTTATTTTTCTTTTGTTTCCCTTGCCTGAGGAAACAGTACTCAGAAAGACTGACAAGATTGACAAGATTCAAATAGCATACCACCTATGTTTTCTTCTAGGAGTTTTATTGTTTCAGGAGGTCTTATATTAAAGTCTTTAATCCATTTTGAGTTAATTTTTGTGTATGGTGCAAGATAGTGGTCTAGCTTCATTCTCTTGCATGTGGCTGTTCAATTTTCTCAACAGCATTTATTTAAGAGACTGTCCTTTCTCCACTGTATGTTCTTTGCTATTTTGTTATAGATCAATTACCTGTATATGTGAAGGTTTATTTCTGGGCTTAGTTCTGTGCCATTGATCTGTCTCTTTTTCTCCCAACACCATGCTGTTTTGATTACTGTGGTTTTGTAGTGTAATTTGAAATCAGGGAATGTGATGCCTCCAGCCTTGTTCTTTTTTTTTTCAAGATTGCTTTGGCTCCTCGGGGTCTTCTGTGGTCCTATACAAATTTTAGGAATTTTTGTTCTATTTCTGTGAAAAATGTTCTTGGGATTTTGATGGGGATTGCACTGAATCTGTAGATTGCTTTAGGGAGTATAGACATTTTAACTGTCCTATCCATGAGCGTAGAATACCTCTTCATTTATTTGTGTCTTTAGTTTCTTTCAACAATGGCTCGTTTTTAAGTGTACAGGTCTTTTTACCTCCTTGGTCAAATTTATTCCTAGATATAAATTTATTCCTTGATATTTTTTTTGTTGTTTTTAATCTTTTTACTACAGACAGTTATTTAGTGGGTTTCACTTGTTTTAGAGCAACTTTGGAGGGAGGAATAGTTTTTATCCTGTGCTAAAATGAAACAGAAAACTGGTATTTTATTTATTACTGGAATTAGTTTGATTACATTTTGCTGACTCTGGATTTTGAAACAGTCAGCAGTTGTTCACAGTTGGAAGCCTTTTAAATGATTTCATTTTACTTGGATATTCTGAGTTTCTCAGTTTATAAAATGATATCATCCTGTGCCTTTTAGAACTTGTCTTCACAAACGTGTTCAGGGAGAGCTTTTCTAATGTTATGTTAGGTAGTATAACCTAGAGAGTAACTCAGGAAGGTCATTATGTTTGTGTATATATATATGAAGTAATACCTCACTGATGCACTGTAACTTTGATGCTGGCATTTAAATGCTCCCAGTTCAGCAGTGGTGAAGAGTAGCAGTAAGTGGGAAGAACAGCAGTGATCCCAGGGGTGGGGATGGGTGTCTTGAGCCATTCTTGTAATCAGAAACTCTCAGGTAGTCAGGTAGGGCAGTTGTGGGATATTAGTTTCTGTCTTTGAAAGTGATCAAACTGAGACATTGACTGTGAATTCTGTAGTAACTTGTGGCTGGAGCCAAGCCTTCTATCTGAAAACAGAAATGAATTCCCCAAATCAGACAGACCTCATGATAAGATAGCACAAAACTTTCTATTCCTGTGTTACATTTTATCTCGTGTCTGGAGAAGGATATGGCAACCCATTCCAGTATTCTTGCCTGGGAAATCCCATGGATGGGGGAGCCTGGTAGGCTACAGTCCATGGGGTCGTAAAGAGTCAGACATAACTGAGCAACTTCACTTTAAACTTACAAAAAAAAAAAAAAATCTCATGGTGTCATCTGTTAATTTCTGGTGGTTATTATTTTACTGGTCACTTTAATTTCCATCTGTTGTGTGGACTTTGCTCTGATTCATCTTCTACTTTAATGGTCTATTTCCCTTTTAGTCTGTGACATCCTGGAAGGTAGGGCTTACATCTTTTGTCACTGCATCCTCTTGGACCCCTAACCGTCTAAACCTAGGATTTCAGTTTATTGTTGTATAATCCCAAACCCTATCCTTTACCCTAGTGCCTAATACATGGTAGGTGCTAAAGAAATATTTGTTAATGAATAGAATATTACCTTAACACTAAAACATTTAAACTTTCAGACCCGTAAGAAACAAAAGGAAGATGTGGACATTGTAGGAGGCAGTGATGGAGAAGGTGCCATTGGACTCAGCAGTGATCCCAAGAGCCGGGAACAAATGATTAATGATCGAATTGGTTATAAACCCCAACCAAAGCCCAACAGTCGTTCATCTCAATTTGGAAATTTTGAGTTTTAGAGGTGGATTATCTTGCGTGCCAGAGCCCTGGAATGGAGTACAATGATGGCGGAAACACAAACAAGATTTAGAGAATGGAGTGCTCTCAGTCAGGCAGAATGTTTTATCTCCTGCAGAGAAATACTTCTGCGTGAGATTACGGATGCTTACCTTTCACTCTGAAAGGTGAAATTCAAACTCTGGTTTGTCTCTGGAAAATGATTCGGTAAAACTTGTCTGATTTTTGTTTTTAAAAATAAATATATTTTTGGGAAAGTGTGTGACGTCCTTAATGAAATATAATAGCACCATTAAATTACTACATCATTCTCATCTTTATTAAAAGACCCTGTGCACAGATGGGCTTTCCCAGGTGGCTCAGTGGTAAAAAGAATCCCCCTGCCATCGCAGGAGACAAGAGTTTGATGCCTGGGTCAGTAAGATCCCCTGAAGAATGGCAACCTACTCCAGTATTCTTGCCTGGGAAATCCCATGGACAGAGGAGCCTGGTGGGATACAGTCCATGGGGTTGCAAAGAGTTGGACACAACTTAGCAACTACACAACAAACACAGAACACATCCAGTTGATCCCTGTAACTGATTTTCACTTAATTCATTTATTTGACAAGTATTTATTGAGTGCCTCCTATGTGCCAGGTACCATTCTAGGCACTTAGAGACATCAGCGAACAAATCAAGATCCCTGCCCTTGTGATTAGAATCTCATGATTTTGTATAAATTTGATCAAGTTGTGGATTTCCAGAATCTTTATAGAATGACTTTGTAACTAGTTTGACAGGATCCGCCCCCCCCCCGCCCCCCCCCCAGTTTTCCTTCTTTCCCAAACTGCCTGTGAGTTTTCCTAATGAGTCAATCTGAGAGGAAGCTCAGAGACTAGAATTATGTCCCATTGTTTTCAGTTTAATTCAACTACTGGGAACTGCCAACTGTAGTAGAAAAGAACCTCTGGAATCCTCAGTTCTGTAGAGACCCACTAGCAGGATTTTACCCAGCCTTTCTGGGGTCGTTTAAGTCTGGGTAATAACAATGTGGGAGGCAGGAAGAGAAGAGGACATATAGTTTTCATGTCTTCCCTACCATTCTTACAACAGTTTTATTCTTCCACTTTTATCTGGGATTTTCTATTTTCTTATCTTGAAAACACAGCAACAGTGGCTCCAGATAGGGAAACTGAGTTTAATTATTTTGAATGTTACAAAGGCCAGGATCAAAGAGGAAAAAAAAAAAAAAGACACACGACTGCCTCAACCAGTCACTGCGGCTTCCCAGCATGAGTGGGCACAGAAGCACAAAAACATTGTGCCTGAGTTTCTTCTTCCCTCCTAACAGCCATACTCAAGAGGATGTTATGTCAGCATTAACACAGGGAAGCAATTAAGAGATGATAAAATCTTTAGTGTACTGAGATATTGCATCTTCATGAAGACTGTCTCCTGTGCAAAAGGTCATGTGAACTCTTCTGGCATATACAAAACCTGTTGTTTTAAGTAAAGTAGGAGGACAGTGAGATGAAAATATAACTGGATCACGCCACCTGAATGACGGACATCTTAAAAACTGATGACAATGGCCAGAGTCCATGTGGACAATGAAGAAACCACTGATTCTGATATCACTGTGGGTGGAAGACACATATAGAATCACAAAATCAAAATATTTATTTGTTCTTTTGCACATGACACTGTTAAAATATTCCTACGACAGCAACACTGCCCCCCAGGAGCTTACAATCTAAAATAGTCAACATTAATTGTAGACCCAGTGATTAAGGCATTACATCAAACGCAGGCTTTATATCTTTAGACGTATCTTCTGAAGGAAGCAGCTGGAGAGGGCAGGACCAACAGTAAATGACATGAAAGTATACTCCCTACCACCTCCCCTTCCAGCTTCTACAGGGAACCCGAAACCAGTGCCCCACAGCCTAAAAGGGGATTCCAGACAACCCTACCATAGAAGTAGTGCAGAAGCCTTAGTCTCTGATCCCCTGGTGGACAGAGAACTCTGTCTGCGGGCAGTGAGGGGCTGAGTGTTCCTCTGGCACAAGTTGGAGATGGTACCTAAGATTTTGTAACTTAGTGGGTAGTACCAGGTAGCCCTTTATGCAGCCTCATAGAAATTCCAACAGGATAATTGCTCATCAAAGTGTGCTTAGGGTCTCGAACAAGTTTTACAGCTTCCAGTTAGTATCAATATCCAAACCCACTGCAGAGCATTGTCCAGTGCATTGGGAGGGCTAGGGAGATTAATAGACTAGATGTATGGGATAAAAGACCGAAAGACAGTAAGGGACCAAAGACATGGCAATACAGCTTCTACTTGTTGTGAACAGGAGGAAAAGAGCAATTTGGATCCAAAAGGAACAAAGAAGTCAGGCACTAAAATTCTAAATGAACAGGGGTACAGATATGAAAATCAACAAGATTATCAATATTAACATAGTCCAAGAGCTCAAGAAAGGCAGAATTTAAGGTTTACTTTTTTTTTACCCCCTTCACTAGTTTCTTCCTTTGGCAACCTAGCTCAAGATCACAGAATTCAGGTTTTTCATGAGACTCTGTCTTGAATACCCAAAGACATATCCCAAACTGCTTCTCTCTGAGAGTCTGAAATTCACAGCATTTTGTCTTAACTGGCCTTGATTTTTCATACCTTGAAAATAACCTGATGAGGTTATTTCATAGCAGATCATGACAAGATGTCTAGAGAGTACCAGGGTTACTACTAAACATTGATTCTTCTTTTATTTCTCAGGGTTTTTATTATTCATTGGCTTCTGAGACAGTACAGGCTATTTGTACCTTAATGTTGGATTTTTATCAGTACCTGTCATTCCCTTTGCTTATACTAAGTGTCAGCCTGACAAGGGGTTGGAATGAGAGAAAAACATAAAATTTTAAATGTTGGTTCTTAGGTTTTAACCTCGATCCAGTAAGCTCATAACCCTCTCTTGGTTCAAAGCCATGCAAGTACACATTTCTCGCCCTCCAATATTTAATTGGCATCAACAGAGAAAGTACAAACTTCAAAACCACAACAGAGGCCAACAGGATAGCTATGTTTTCTCTCTCCTGCCCGGAGGCACAAAAGGAGTCTAGCACCAAGGAGGGCAGGATTTAATAGACCAGCACAAGAAGAGTCACTATACAGAGGTAGGTTGGACTGGGAACGAGACTGCCGTGTAGAGTAACGAGAATAAAAATCCAATATGATTCTTCACCAAGGAAAGTAATTTTTGGCCACTTGTGATCTAATTAAGCTCTCCCCACCCCGAGTAACAAAGATGGTCATGCAGAGAATGAGGATCTGCCTGGTATGTCTTTGGATGTCGGGGCTGAGGAAAACCTGACCATCAGCCGACCACACCCTAAGCCTCTTCAAGAGAGGCCTGGGCTTTTGGCTTTCTAAACCAAGACTGGCTGATTTACATTGCAGATCAAAGGTCTTTCTCAACCTTCAGGCTACTTCCAAGAAATTACAGATCTTTAAAAATAAGGACTATTGATCTCATACATGCCAAGAAAAGTTACTTTGGCTCCAGCCCTTCCATGCATGTGGGCCTGGGCACACAGACACAGCCGGGGCTGAATAAATGTTTGTGGAATGATTAAGTATTGACCAGCAGCATTTAGTACATAAGTTAAGCCCAGACACACCACCTACTAATAGCAAGTCAAATTCCCGTGCCCAGTCCCAGGTAGCTCACCACCAGGTGATACTCCCTTAGTATAAAGCAAAGATGCTCAAAGTATGGTCCCCTGATCATCAGCAAGAGCATCACTTGGGAATTTGTAAAAAATACCGATTTAGGAGCTCTGGGTCAAGGCCCAACAACTGTGTTTTTAACAAGCTCTCTAGGTGATTTTCTGATACATGCTAAAGTTTGAAAATCACTGGTTTAGAGGCAGATACATGAAAACAATAATGGGAGAAAATGTTTAAATGCTTGCTTCATTCAGCTGTGACATACTAAGGTACCAAGTCAAAGTAAAAATGTCAATGGTTTCATTTTAAAATATCTATTTTTTCAAATTGATTGTCACCTTTTTTTCTTGATTAACAAGTTCATTCTAATTAAAATGTTAAGTGGGAACATAAGTTGATTAATCAGCCACCCAAGAATGCACTGTTCTGCAATTTACAGTCTCAAACCATCTCTCTGCCCCCTCCAAAGGTTTCAGTGCAACACGTCACATCTAGGGAAGGCATAACCTATCTCCCACTCATTGAGTCCAAAGACTAAAACATGTTTGGGTTCTGGGTTTAACTGGGAAAGACTTTCCCTCGCCTGCCATCAATCCTGGCTAAAGTTAACCCATTTCCATCACTGACCCAGGAAAGACCCATCAAATTCACAGGCTGTCTGTTTAAAAGAAAAAAAGAACACAAGACTGAAAACAAGGAAGCAGGCGATCAAGCCATTGAACAGAAAGCTACCTGGATTAGATAAGAACATATAACTCGGATCTAAGATAATGAGGGAGGAGAGGACCTCTCCTGAGCGGCTTCACCTCAAGAGAAATGGGAAACTCAGCTCATTAGGGAAAAAAGTGTGGGGGGAAGGAGGTTACCACTTTAGCTCAGAGACTGTTAGCTAAACCTCTGTTGAGCAGGTGTATGTGTGTCGTAAGGAGATAAGGAGCAAGAAGAGAAGGTGGAATCCTGTCCTCCAGTCTTGAACTGCTTTCCACTGCAATCGATAAGGCCACACCATGGAGTTAGGTGTTAATGGCAATGCTCTGTGATGTCCACTACCACCGCCTTCTTCCAGCTGAAGAGGAAGTACCCTGTGCCAGCCCCGGCTGCGACAGCAATGCAGAGGTACCCGTTGTAGGTCATGAAGATGAGCATGAGGAAGTAGCTGATGACCACTTGGATGATGTGCAGCACTGTTTGCAGGAGGTGCGGGAAGCTTAGCATTTGCTGCCTGGAGAGGAAACAGGGACGCAGGAGTTAGGGCCCGGGAGTGCTCAGGCAGCTCGGCACGCGCTTCGGGCAAAAGGAAGAACAGTTGTGGTCATGAGCTCAGCTTGGGCTGCCCTCTCTCACAGTTACCTTGGCAACTCCAGGGTACTTGTGTCTACGCAAGTTTTGTTTGTTAGTCCTTGGAATGAAAAATGATAGGACTATGAGGTTAACAGACATCAGCCAGAAATGGTTCTACGGCAGCAGGAGGAAAGCTCTTCAGGAGGAGGGGAGAGGGAGGGTGGAAGGTCACTCACTCCCACCTTGGAACCTGAAAGGATGGCCCACACCCTCCCACATTTATTTCTGCAAACATTTTCAGGCCTTCCACCTTCACAAAGCTCACACTCTTAAAAACTTGGAAACAACAACAACAAAAAAAAAACAAAAACTTGGAAACAGAATTGACAGTGGGGTGGTATAGTAGACAGCTCTTAATTAGGGATCAGGAGACCTGGCTGTTTATCTCCTCTGTCACTCACTAGTTCTGTCACCTTAGATGAGTCACAATCTGGTTGGCCCTCAATCATGGGTACTATTGGAATAAATAATATTGTGCTTACTTGAGAGTAAGACATCTATAGGATTCCTTGAATTCCAATTTAGCTTTAAGATCTACGTGTCTATTATAACTGAATTTTAAAAAGCACTTGCCAATCTGTGGGAAAAACCAACAGTCATCCAAATACTTTCTTAAGTGAAATACAGACCTTTGCACAATCTCATAACAAAATGAGACCAGAGCTCGGCAGGTACAACTTGTTATAGAAAGGAATCAACTGGGTTCTGCCGTTCTTCTGTATAATGACCTAAAACTTCTTTCTCTAATTTGTTTATTATTATTTGACTAATGTTAAAATATGGATTCTTTTCCTTCTTCCAAAGTGACCAATGCTTAGAATTCAGAATGAACTCTAAGGAGAGTTAATATCATTCCTCTTTGGGCCTGCTAATGACTCACAACCCCAAGCCTCCAAAGAGTGCTGATCAAGGTGACATAGAATCATTAACTCAAGAAAAGAGCTGTTGCTAATAAAATAGCCACTATGCTATTTGGCTAATTTAGCTCTCCAGAACTTCCATCTGGATCTGTTCAATCTTCTTACCCGACAGTTTTGTGTGTCTCCATAAGGATGGTTCCATTTGGTCCTGGGACAGGCATGGAATTGTACCGAATGCTGACCTGTGACTTGCGCAGGAGGCCCTCTCGGGCTATCTTGAGTCCTTCATAGAACATGGCTAGTAAAAACACTGCCACGAAAGCTCCGGCCATTTCTAAGTAGGAAAGGAAAAGATGGCAGTAATGTCAAACATGCAAAATGCTTAGCTGGTGTGCTCTCCAAGCGAAAAAGAAAACGTAGAAACTGCTCCTCTTTTTTTTTGGGGTGGGGTGGGGGTGGGTGGGAACGGGCCTTGCCACTCAGCTGGCAGAATCTTAGTTTCCTGACCAGGGACTGAACCCGGCCCTGGGCAGTCAAAGTGCCATGTCCTAATCACTGGACTACCAGGGAATTCCAAAAAATGGCTACTCTCTATTCTTTTTTTTTTTTTTGCTACTCTCTACCTTAATTCCAGAATATGTTATATTGTTACCTCTTCACTCCCATGGATGGAAGAGAAGGACTAAGATGGTGTTAGTGAAAACTATAGTCTCTACTAAAGAACATACTCATTTTCTGATTAAGATAACAAAAAAATAATTGGAAGAACAATAACCTTTTGGTCTGGCTGCTTGACATCATTAAATTAGTTTCACACACAGAGACACACAAGGTAGAACACATGAAAGAGAAATAAGACACTTATTGTGGAGACTCTGACCTCCCAGTGCAGGGGCATAGGCTCCATCCCTGACTGGGGACCCCACATGCTGTGCCGTGTGCCCTGCCTGCCCCTCAGAAAAGTGTTGACTCTATTTCTTGAATGGGCACTTCAATTCTAAGTCTTTCACACTGTGAATTGTTGGTAACAATATGAATGTATTCAAAACTGATTTAACATACTACCTGAATTAAATGCTTCCCTTCTTCCCAAAACAAATCGATTTTGTGGGTCCAAAGATTTATCTTATACCTAAAGTGGTCCACCTGACCACTGAACTTGTACAATTTGAATTTAAGGCACACTAACTCAACATTATAGACTCCAAAAAAATGGATGACTAATTTCCCCCAAACTAGGACTGACCTTAAGATGGGTCAAGAGTCATGAATGCTATAGACCAGTTTGGTAAGCTAGAAAGAGCATAGGATTAGGTCAGAAGCCTTAGGTCCCTGTCCTAGTTCTGACATACTAATTTATTTAGGGCGAATCATCACTATTTCAAGCTTAATTTTTCCGTAAAATGGAAGGACTGTACTCGATTAATAGTTTTGAAGCTAGGGTTATTTTGTGGCATGTATATATAAAATGCTTCTTATGCCATTTGAACTTGACTGTAATCTTACGTCCAAGACCAATCAAACAAGGAAACACTCTGGAAAAGGGTGAAAGAAAATGGTCTGCAAAAGACTCTGACCTATATCTAAATTATGTTTCAGAAACTCTAAAACATACACATGTTATTTAAGAGAGGTTTATGGTAGGACCTAAATAGTCATTGTGTATCCTTATCTTCCAGGTAGGAAATAGGAAACTAGATGGTTACAATCGCATCTCATGACTCAGTAATTCTGGCAGGAAGAGGTGCTGGGTTTCCAGATTCTTTGTCACTGTCTCTCACGTGAGTGTCACCTTCAAACAACACCTGATGGCTTACTCACCTCCAGCTGTATTGATCACCAAACCAGAAAACAATAGTTCCACGTCCTTAAAGCCAAAGTAGAAGGTCATAGGCTGCCAGGAAACCAAAACATTGTAGTTAGAAACAATCAAAGTTTTTACATGAGAATCGCAGGTCAAGAACACTTACTAGCAGCAGTTCTGGGTAATAAGAAGCAGTCACTGAAGTGGGAAGCCTTCTCCTCAGTTTAGTATCACTAACACAGGCACTTCTCCATATGTACTCTCCTTTGCCCTCACTGTCAACTTTTGCCTTTTTCTCTTCTACACAGAGCATAAAGAAATTAATCCAGAAAAGGGTCAATTTTGAAAGGAAGACATACTGAAGAGAGAACCACAGAAATATCTGGTGTAGCCCTGAAATTAACCTGCCACAGAATCTTGGGCAAATCACTTGACTTCTCTAGGTCTGCCTTAGTTTTTCCTCATCGGTAAATTGATCTTTAACCTTGAAAAAAAATGCTATGACAAACCTAGACAGTGTATTAAAAAGCAGAGACATCACTTTGCCGACAAAGGTCCATATAGTCAAAGCCATGGTCTTTCCAATAGTCATGTATGGATCTAAGAGTTGGACCATCAAGAAGGCTGAGCACCGGACAATGGATGCTTTTGAACTGTAGTATTAGAGAAGACTCTTGAGAGTCCCTTGGACTGCAAGGAGGTCAAACCAGTCAATCCTAAAGGAAATCAACCCTGAATATTCATTGGAAGGACTGATACTAAAACCAAAGCTCCAATACTTCGGCCATCTGATGCAAACAGCCAACTCATTGAAAATGACCCTGATGTTGGGAAAGACTGAGGGCAGGAGGAGAAGGGGACGACAGAGGATGAGATGGTTGGATGGCATCACTGATTCAATGGATGTGAGTTTGAGCAAACTCTGGGAGATAGTGAAGGACAGGGAAGCCCAGCGTGCTGCAGTCCATGGGATTGCAAAGAGTTGGACACAACTTAGTGACTGAATAAGAACAACAAACATAATCATCTTCCAGTCCTAAAATCTGATTGTTTCTATGACCCAGGTGGGTGTGGCACTTACCATCATCATCATCATGTGATCATGGGAGTGGTCGGATGAAGTGGTCGGGTGATGGTGAGGTGGCATGGTACTGTTGTCTCCACCACTCATATCCATGTTCATCCCCATGTGGTGGGAATGGCTTATTTTCCCAGGAAAAGTTGAGTCAGCAGAAGAATCTTTTAAGAAGAAGAATTACATACAAGAATTAAAAATACAAAAGCTTGAATCTTTTTTTAAAATCTTCACAATATTTCATCTTGTCTTTTTTTTTTTTTTAAACTACACTGTGTGGTTTATGGAATCTTAGTTCCTTGACCAGGGATTGAACCTGTGTCCCCTGCACAGGAAGCACAGAGTCCCAATCTCTGGACCGCCAGGGAATTCCCCAAATCTTGTTTCTTGATAAATACTTAGTCTACATGGGATTTCAGCTAATAAATATATGCTCCCCTAACATCTTACTCAGAATTATTTCTTAATTATCTACAGACACAGAGAGGAATAACTGCACCAACAGGAATGTCCTCTGGAGACTGTGGCAGAAGGGATTTCTGTACATAGAGTTTCAGAAACCTCTTTTTTTTTTTTTAATTCATTTTTATTGAAGCATAGTTGATTTACAATGTCATGTTAGTTTCTGCTATACAATACAATACAAAGTGAATCAGCTATATAATATCAGAAACCTAACTTTTATTCTGAATCCTCTTCTAGATACATTCAATGTATGTTCAAACTTAAATATGAGATAAGGAGAAGAAAAGTAGCTTCTCTGAGTGGTAGGAAATAATTTGTAACAATGCATAAAATTGATGCCGTGAATGAAATTTAACAGTCTTTCTGATCACAAATGTCAGTAGATAAAAAGCAAGTGTTTCAAGATAATTCACCTAATTGGATGGCCTGTGTTCAATCAGGATATTATGAATACACTCTCAACATATGGGACCACCAGCTTTCAGCTAATTTAAATTAGAAGGAAAGGTCTACTGCCGCCCTAGGCAAGTGGTGTGTTCAGAATTTGATACACTATCAATATCAGCAGGGCATTAGAGCTGGGAATACGAAAAAAAAAAGGTATAAATTAGATATACTCTATTAAATTAAGTCTAGACAACTGCATATTCAGTCTTGTGTCTATGTTTACTATCCCTTAGCGGTTTTATTGCAAAAGTCCATCCAAGATGTTATCCAAAGAGCAAAAACTCTGGTAGCTAGGGTGGGGAGTGGGAAGGTGAAGAGGGTAGAGAGTGGGGTGGTGGGATTCTGTTTATGTGTGCCTCAATGCCAATTTGTGGAGCAAAGGGTTCTTTAGAAATCCCAAGTAGGTATTCATGTTCATGAGCCTGTGTGCCTCTTTCATTAATCCAATCAACAAATATTTATCCACAGCTTTCACCAAACTCTGAGCTAAGTGCTAATAATTCAACAGTGAATAAGACAGACGAAGCACAGAATGGAGAAACAGTAAACTCACGTGGGGATTAGTGCTGTGAAGAGAAAAAACGGGGGAGTACGGCAGGATTACTAAGAGGCTGAAAGAGGCACCCTTTAGATACAAAAGCACAAATACGCCACCATTTATTTTCCCCATTCAACTTCTATCCCATGATTCTATGATAGCAAGCTGAAAAAACAGGTTCCAGCAAAGGAAATAGCAAGGCATCCGTTACAGATAATCAAAACTCAACTGTGAATTTAAATAGCTTTCATGCCAGATACTGTATTGCTTCATCATGAGAGAACTCGACAGCTGGGATTGTTAATACTTTTGCCAAAAGGGGACTAGATTAGAGGTACAAAGAGATACATAAGATCTTTGTCCACAAAGGTTTATTTCTAGTGAATGGTTAAAAAAAAAAAGAATACACACAAAAATAATCAACAAGAGGGAGCACACACGAATGTCTGTGGTGTGCCTTCTGGCGTCAGCAACGGAGGGACATACAGAGATGAACCAGACATAGGCTCTCTCCTCATGGAGCTTCAAGGCTAAAAGTTAGAAGGGGAAACTGAACAGTCAGAACTCAGTTTGGGGCCTAAGATGAAATGTAAAGGACAGTTTAAAAAGAAAGAACAAAGATAGCATCAGAAACTAATTAAGATTTGTACCCTTGATTTTCCTCATGAACTTTTACATATTCTTCTTGTCACCATGTTTCTTTTGAAGACCCACGGGTTCCTAATTGTTCAGGCATCTCATTACCAATCAGAGACAACTATTTAATGAAGGTACTTATTCATATCTTTTCAGATGTATCAGTGGTCCAGTAATCTATATGTCCAAATCTTAATAACATCTTTCGAGTTATGCACCTGTTTTGAAGTATCATCTTGTAGGATACACTTCACACTGAAATATACTAGAGAACAGAGCAGGAACTGAATCTATTTCCTTCCACGGTCAATGGACAATTAATTTCTTTTTTTTTCTTTTAACTTTATTTATTTATTTATTTTGACCTTACTATGTGACTCACAGGATCTTATTTCCCTGACTAGGGATTGAACCCAGGCCTCCAACAGTGGAAGCACTGAATCCTAACCAGTGAACAACCAGCAAACTCTCACAATGGGTTTCTTTTTTTTAAGACCACTTTCAAGCCCTTTCTGCCTATCCTCTCTCTTAAGGCCACAAAATGACCATCAACACATATGGATGGTTCATAAAATCTCTTTCGTCTAGCATAGAAAACTTCTTTGCTCTTTAAGAAAATAGAACAGAAATGGTCTAGGAATTGGCGAGAAAAAAAAATAAGTATGAATTTCTATGAAACTTAGTTCCTATAAAAATAGGTGAGAAGCTTATTTCTTTGGAAGGCTTTACACTATTCAGTTTCTAGGGAACATTCATGTTCAGCTGGGTACTTGAGGTTGGCTATATGCCAACTTGCTTGTATTGCTTGGAATACTATTAGAATAAATGACACATCCTATACTGAATAACCTGATGCTGGGAAAGACTGAAAGCAGGAGGAGAAGGGGATGACAGAGGATAAATGGTTGGATGGCATCACCGACTCAGTGGACATGAATTTGAGATGGTGAAGGCCAGGGAAGCCTGGTCTGCTGCATGCAGCCCATGGGGTTACAAAGAGTCAGACGCAACTGAACAACAACACTGAATACCATATAGCTTTGCATTTTCTACCTTTTCCCCATTTAATAAGTATGGTGCAGTATTTGTAAAAGTAGGTTTCAAAACTTCCTTGGATTCAAGGATCTAATTCCTTCTGAGTCTCCTTTTGAGAATCATCAAAAAGAAGCTTCCTCTGTTTCTGCCAACACTTCCCCCAAACACACGCACTGTGAAGTGTAGAGGGACAGACTCTTTTTTGCAAAATCTAGCATCTCTAGCAAAATATATATCAATTTATAGACAGAAGATAGGGAACTAGCAAGCAGGTTAAATTCTGATGTCCATTCTGAGTCTTAGCACTGACCTTACATCTTAACTTTAAATCCTCTTTTATTTTCCTGGTATTTCACAATGGTGAATGAGAAACAATAGTCCATAGGGACTACGATTAGATCCCACAAAAGACTACACAGAAGTGGTCACACATCTGCCATGTGGTCCTTCTCCTCCAGCTTAGTTGGATGTAATCCGGAGCCTCAGATAATTCTTTTGGAGACTGCCACTAGTCTTTCCTGACTTTCATGATAAGGAAGAAAGCTTTTATTCTTAAAATGATTAGGGTCATGTTCTTTTTTAGATTTGTAAAAACATTTAACAAAGGGAACTCTATCTAGTCACTCTTCTGCTTTCTGGAGTCAATAGTTATGATTGATGATACAAGTTTTTGGCAAGCACAGACAGGGGAAATTCAACATCAAAGACAATACACTACCACAAACAAGGATTCCTGTATATGGACTATGTTCATGCGATTAAGCAACAAGTTTAACTGGACTAATCCTGCCTTTTCATGACCTGTATGGGGTCAACAGATATTCTGAGGAATGACTCTGGGTTTGTTTCAAGTGCCTCTATAGGTGAACTCTGAAATTTTCCTATACATGGCTCAGATGATAAAGAATCTGCCTGTAATGCAGGAGATCTGGGTTGGAAAGATCCCCTGGAGAAGGAAATGGCTCCCCACTCCAGTATTCTTGCCTGGAGAATTCCATGGACAAAGGAGCCTGGTGGGCTACAGTCCGTGGGGTTGCAAAGAGTTGGACACGACTGAGTAACTAACATGATGTTTTATGAATCCTGCACTTATGCTGTTTGCAGGAAGTGGTAAAGGAATGTAGGAAAAAAAGGAGAGATCTTGATATAATGCAGTAACAAATCAGGCCTTGGTGCCTCTCTATAACCTGACATTTCAGGCCAATATACTGAAGTTGTTCAGAAAAAAAATGTAGTGGTTTCTAGGGAAGGGAAATACAATTTGATGAATATAAATGGGGAAGTCTCTTTTCCTTGATGGCTATGATGTTGTTTCACTCATTCTCTAGGCCCTGGCCTCACATTTTTTACTCCAAGTTGACTGGCAGAAATGTGGTCATAACTGTTTGACTATAACCACATCATGCTTTGGATATTTTAACTCTCTTTCCTTGGCCTGTATCCCTCTTGGGGTGCAGTAATCATAAGGATACTTAAACTAATTTCATTTACAAAGAGTATTCAGTTCAGTTCAGTCACTTAGTCGCGTCCCACTCTTTGAAACCCCATGAATCACAGCACGCCAGGCCTCCCTGTCCATCACCACCTCCCGGAGTTTACTCAAACTCATGTCCACGGAGTCGGTGATGCCATCCAGTCATCCATCCTCTGTCATCCCCTTCTCCTTCTGCCCCCAATCTCTCCCAGCATTAGGGTCTTTTCCAATGAGTCAACTCTTCACATGAGGTGGGAAGTTTCAGCTTCAGCATCAGTCCTTCCAATGAACACCCAGGACTGATCTCCTTTAGGATGGACTGGTTGGCTCTCCCTGCAGTCCAAGGGACTCTCAAGAGTTCTCCAACACCACAGTTCAAAAGCATCTATTCTTTGGCACTCAGCCTTCTTCACAGTCCAACTCTCACATCCATCCATGACCATTGGAAAAACCATAGCCTTGACTAGACGGACCTTTGTTGGCAAAGTAATGTCTCTGTTTTTTAATGTGCTATCTAGGTTGGTCATAACTTTCCTACCAAGGAGTAAGCGTCTTTTAATTTCATGGCTGTAATCACCATCTGCAGTGATTTTGGAGCCCAAGAAAATAAAGGCTGCCACTGTTTCCCCATCTATTTCCCATGAAGTGATGGGACCAGATGCCATGATCTTAGTTTTCTGAATGTTGAACTTTATGCCAACTTTTTCACTCTCCTCTTTCACTTTCATCAAGAGGCTCTTTAGTTCTTCTTCACTTTCTGCCATAAGGGTGGTGTCATCTGCATATCTGAGGTTATCGATATTTCTCCCAGCAATCTTGATTCCAGCTTGTGCTTCTTCAAGCCCAGTGTTTCTCATGATGTAGTCTGCATATAAGTTAAATAAGCAGCGTGACAATATACAGCCTTGATGTACTCCTTTTCCTATTTGGAACTAGTCTGTTGTTCCATGTCCAGTTCTAACTGTTGCTTCCTGACCTGCATGTAGGTTTCTCAAGAGGCAGATCAGGTGGTCTGGCATTCCCATCTCTTTCAGAATTTTCCACAGTTTATTGTGATCCACACAGTCAAAGGCTTTGGCATAGTCAATAAAGTAGAAATACATGTTTTTCTGGAACTCTCTTGCTTTTTCGATGATCCAGCGGATGTTAACAATTGATCTCTGGTTCCTCTGCCTTTCCTAAAACCAACTTGAACATCTGGAAGTTCAGGGTTCACGTATTGCTGAAGCCTGGCTTGGAGAATTTTGAGAATTACTTTACTAGCGTGTGAGATGAGTGCAATTGTGTGGTATTTTGAGCATTCTTTGGCATTGCTTTTCTTTGGGATTGGAATGAAACTGACCTTTTCCAGTCCTGTGTATTAGGCGTGAGTAAATCTTAAGTTTATACACAGGTTCTAGCCAGAACTAGCAAAGATTTTTGACTCCCAGAGTTCTGCCATATCAATGTATTAAACAACAGTTTAGGAAAATGAGACAGTAGAGGTAGCAGGAAAATGAGACAGTAGAGGTAGCAAGAAAATAAGTCAGGCCAATAAGAAAAACAGAAATGGTAAAGACCTTAAAACCAGAGTTCTCCTCAGATTAAATTTGGCAGGTGATTGGAGGGGATAGGGCATGTGCCGTAACTATAGCTTTATAAAGACAGAACTCTGGAGAATAATTTCCAAAACCCCACCACCAACACTGTATTAGTTGCTCAGTCGTGTCTGACTCTTTGCAACCCCATGGACTAAAGCCCGCCAGACTCCTCTGTCCATGGGATTCTCCAGGCAAGAATAGTGGAGTGGGTTGCCATTTCCTTCTCCAGGGGATCTTCCCCACCCAGGGATCAAACCTGGGTCTCCTGAATTGCAAGCAGATTCTTTACCATTTAAGCCACCAGGGAAGCCCTTACCATTAAAAAAATAAAAAATGAAAAGGAAAGAAAGAAAACTTAGATTTTATCCTTAAAAAAACTTTTCAATAAAACTAAGGCTACCAGGACTTCCCTGGAAGTCCAGTGGTTAAGGCTCTGAGCTTCCAATGCAGGGGACACAGATTTGATCGCTGGTCAGGAAACTAGGATCCCATATGCTGTGAGGCTGAGTGCCCAAAGCAAACAAACCTAAAGCTGCCATCTTCCCTTCTAAGTTTGTGCCTTTGCTGATAATACAAAAGTGAGGTCTACTGTAAACAGACAGTGGAGGCGGTACTAAGTCCAAGCTCGGTCTGCTCACTGCTGGACAAGTCAATTAACCAGAAGGTTGAGGCAAGGAATACAATTTTATTGGGAAAGCTGGCTGACAGAGAAGATAGCAGACTAATGTCTCAAAATAACCATCTTGTCTGGGTCTGGATGCCAGGTGATTTGCAGGACAGAGACAGGTAGGAGTTGAGGAAGTAAAGACCATTATCTTGCTAATATCCCCTGGAATGGCCAACCTCAAACTCTTCCAGCCGAGGTGCAGTCTTCCTCAAGGCAGGTCATTATGTGCTATTATAATGACGAAGGGGCTTCCCCGGTGGCTCAGAGGATCCACCTGCAGTGCAGGAGACCAGGGTTCCATCCCTGGGTCAGGAAGATCCCCTGGAGAAGGGCATGGCAACCCACTCCAATATTCTTGCCTGGAGAATCCCACTGACAGCTACAGTCCTTGGGGTTGCAAAGAGTTGGACACGACTGAGCAACTACAACATAATAACAAAAGCAATGCAAAACAAAAGTTAAAGTCAAAGAAACAGAACCATCATAGAGACAAAACTGGCTCTTAGCTGCAGCATAGGAGGTCCCTGAGGAAAAGAAGCAGGTATAGCTTTTTGATATAAGAGAAGCCATTTTAGGCCTAAGCCATTTTGTGATCTAAGTCTGGCTACCATGCACGCCCTTGAACAGGGTCTCAGTAATAACAACTGTAAGGAAACATAAGAAGTAACAATAGCAAAGATGATAAAGTCTGTTGCAGGATTCCTTGAAGGCACTTTTTGTGGAAAGAAACCAAACTACACTCTATACACTCAAGTGATAGCATAGTCTATATGGCTGTATCACTCATACATCAGACTAATCAGATATATCAATAGTAACCAATTGCCAGAGACAAATGGTTACACTTAAAACTTAAAGGGCTTCCATTTATGAGTGGCCAATTCCCTGGTGGTTCAGATGGTAAAGAACTGTCCTGTAATTCGGGAGACCTGGGTTTGATCCCTGGGTTGGGAAGATCCCCTGGAGGAGGGCATGGCAACCCACTCTAGTATTCTCATCTGGAGAATCCCCATGAACAGAGGCAGGCTACAGTCCTTGGGGTTGCAAATAGTCAGACACAACTGAGCGACTAAACACACACACAGTGATCTAGGCAAACATGAAACGCTACAGAGACTGAAAGTTTTTATTGGAACAAAAGAGCTATGAATTAGTGGGAGTAGATCTTTTATACTGAAGTTCTTGGCTAAGAATACCCATTTTAGTACGAAAGGCGGTAACTCAGGAGCTGCCCTGTGAATCTCATTCTAACTATCTATGGAAAAGACAGAAAGCAAACCCATCGTTTGATCCAATCAGAGTAAGACAAGAAAGCCTTTGCTTAAATGGCAACCCACTCCAGTATTCTTGCCTGGAGAATCCCATGGAGAGAGAAGCCTGGTTAGGCTACATACAGTCCACGGGGTCGCAAAGAGTCGGACACGACTGGGCGACTTCACTCACTCACTCCAGGTGATTCAAGGTCACCCCCTCCTATCATAAACTTCATCTTTCTATATCTCCACTCCACTTAATAGTTAATCTGCTCAGGCTGAGCAAAGGAGATGAGAAGCCTGTTTGTCCTGGAGGAACTGACTACAAGACAAATTATACAGCTATAATTATTAACAAGAGGGTTATCATTTTGAAGAGAAAGCATGCTGAGGACAAACTTAATTTTTTAAATACCCAATGCAGATGATACCACCTTAATGGCAGAAAGTAAACAGGAACTAGAGCCATTTGAGGAAGGTGAAAGAGGAGAATGAAAAAGCTGGCTTAAAACTCAACATTAAAAAAGCTAAGATCACAGCATCCAGTCCCATAACTTCATGGCAACTATATGGGGAAAAAAATGGAAACAGTGGCAGATTTTATTTTCCTGGGCTCCAAAATCACTGCAGATGATGACTGCAGCCACAAAATTAAAAGATGCTTGCTCCTTGGAGGGAAAGCTATGACAAAATTAGACAGCACATTAAAAAGCACAGACATTACTTTGCCGACAAAGGCCCATATAGCCAAAGCTATGGTTTTTCCAGTGGTCATGGACAGATTTGAGAGTTGGACCCTAAATAAGGCTGAGTGCCAAAGAATTGATGCTTTCGAACTGTGGTGTTGGAGAAGACTTTTGAGGGTCCTTTGCACTGCAAGGAGATCAAACCAGTCAATCCTATAGGAAACTAACCCTGAATATTCACTGGAGACTGATGGTGAAGCAAAGCCCAGGAGATAGTGAAGGATAGGGAAGCCTGGCATGCTGCAGTCCACAGGGTCACAAAGATTTGGACATGACTTACTGACTGACTGAATAACACCAACAAATCCTCACAGTACCTCTTCTTGTTTCAGAGGAACCAAGGCACAGAAAGGGAAAAGTGGAAGTATTAATCACTCAGTCGTGTCTAACTCTTTGCAATCCCTATGGACTATAGCCCTCCTCTGTTCATGGGATTTCCTAGAATACTGGAGTGGGCTGCCATTTCCTTCTCCAGGGGAATCTTCCTGACCCAGGGATCAAACCTGCATCTCCTGTATTGGCAGACAGATTCTTTACTGCTCAGCCACCAGGGAAGCCCAAGGCATGGAGAGTTTAAGCACCCTGTTCAGTGTTATTCTAGAAGGTTATGGAAGTACCCTGGCAAGAACTTATATATCCTCACTCCTGGCCCAGGGATTATTCTCTGTTAAATCTGCCTTACTATTTATTCAGTGTCAAATTTTGGTCACTTTTCCTAATCCAAATAAATTAGAAGATTCACTCAGCCTGCCTCTGGTTTTCACAATCACTCTCTTACAAACTGGGGTTTTTCTCAGGGTACTTCTGCCCTCTGTTCATCCTATGTGATACATCAACGACAAATCAAGCTACCTAAAGCATGGCTCTACTTACCTGTCCCCAACATCCCACTGCCTACCAACCTCTCCATTGTCAATTAACCTCCTTGTTCTAAGATAATAGATCTTTAAAATAAAGGCCTCAACCTACCTTTCTGCCTACAGATGCTTTGTGTTTCAGCCAAACAAGTCTAATTAGCCCAGTTTCTACTCTTACCACACTTTGCTGTCTGGTGTCTTCGCTGACATTGTTTCTTTAGTCTGCAAGGCCCATCCTTACAATCTCTAAATGCAACAAATCTTCCTCCTCTTGCAAGGTCTAGTTCTAAAACTTCTGACCATTCATACCACAATGTGCCTTTCTTCATGACTCCAACTGAGACTAGGTCTCAAATATCCCGATTTTTTTTTTAATGCTCTTTCAATCTGTTTTAGTCATCACCTGATAGCCTAGCTTCAACAAGTAGACCTAGAAAGAGATGAATGAGACATCTCTTCATCTATCAGCAGACCACCTCAAGATAAAACCTAGTGCCCTGCCTCTCAATTTGTGGGTCATAGAAATCTCACTAAGAATTGGAAGGGCTTTAGGGCTTCCATGGTGGTCCAGTGGTTAAGACTCCATGCTTCCACTGTAGGAGACATGGGTTCAACCACTGGTTGGAGAACTAAGATCCTTGTGCCACACAGCGTGCCCCCTCCTCCCCCCAAGCCTAGAAGGACTTTACAAGTCATCAGATGTAACCAAATTCTGTACCAACTGTTATAACACCCCTCAGGATGTTTCTGTTCCAGAAATATAAGGATGCAAACACTCTCTTTCCAGCCAAACCAAGCATAGGAAGTGTTTCACAGGAGCCTGCATTTTGCTGTTTTTTGGTGATGGTGTTGATAATAGAACCAGCAGTTCCAGTGAAACCAGTATCCAGATACTATTTGCATGTATTTCTCAAACCATGATTTGCATTTTAGGTTTTACTCCCATGAACTAATCTGTCTGCAAAGAGACACAGAAGTATCTTCACCTCACCCTTCTCATCATTTATTTTATGTCCACTACCTGGCATTTGGGGCTTCCCAGAAAACTCAGTTGGTAAAGAATCCACCTGCAATGCAGGAGACCCCGGTTCGATTCCTGGGTTGGAAAGAAACACTGGAGAAGGGATAGGCTACCCACTCTAATACTCCTGGGCTTCCCTTGTGGTTCAGCTGGTAAAGAATCCGCCTGCAATGTGGGAGACCTGGGTTCAATCTCTGGGTTGGGAAGATCCCCTGGAGAAGGGAAAGGCTACCCACTCCAGTATTCTGGCCTGGAGAGTTCCATGGACTGTATAGTCCATGGGGACCCAAATCGTCAGACACGACTGAGTGACTTTCACTTTCACTGGCATTTATTTATGTCTTTGATACAGATTTCCTTCCCAGCCTTACCCCAATCTAATCCTCTTCACATTCAGATATTCCACTGAAAGTCATCCATTCACTCTTCCTGAATAAATTTAGTACTTTGATAGCTGTAGATTTTTTGGCTCTGTAGTCCCCATCCCATCTTCTGAATATGTGAAAATCCTATCATTATTTGTTCAACATTTATAGTGCACTTAAAATGTGTCAGAAGTAAGTGAAGTGAAAATCGCTTAGTCGGGTCCGACTCTTTGCAACCCCATGGACTATACAGTCCGTGGAATTCTCCAGGCCAGAATACTGGAGTAGGTAGCCTTTCCCTTCTCCAGGGGATCTTCCTAACCCAAGGATCGAACTCTGGCCTTCTGCATTGCAGGTGGATTCTTTACCAGCTGAGCCACAAGGGAAGCCAGTAGTAGGATAAAGTTAAAATATGGCCCTTGCTGTTTGGAGTGTACAATCTAGTTCGTTCTTTAGGGCTAAGTTAAAATGCCACCTCTTCTATGAGGTTTTCCTTTAATTCCTGACAGAAGAAAGTGCCTTTTACTGGATATCTTTAGCAATCTTCTCTTATAGAACGTTTGACTTACAGTTCTTAAAATACAAGATAAAAAACACCATATACACACAGCAAAGTTCTTAGAGGGCACGTTACTAATTCACACCTCCTTACTGCACCTGGAAGGGCACTGGACAAAATATTCATTCACCCAAAATGTATTTAATTCTTACAAAACCCATGTAGGTTTTATATCTATTTACAAGGACCCAGGTGCAAAAGACAAGATTCTTGCCTTTGCAAAACTTACCCTAGAGGAGGAAACTCTCGTTAAATATGTAAATAAGTAAATGTGTTTAAGAATATAGTTGGAAGTAAACACGGTACTGTGCTAGGAGAATAACAGTAAAAGAACTAACTTAGACGGAGCAGGGGTAGGTAGAAGAGAGAACAGAGAAGCCCTCTTAGGGTAACATTTAAGCAGGCTGAAAATTACTGGAGATGGGTAGAAGGGCAGAGAATAGCACCCCTGCGGCAAGAAAGGAATCAAGGTCGTTCAAGGTCAGTGTGAATAGAACACATTGAGTGCGGGGAAGAGGAGCCCAAGCGGCTGGAGACAGGCAGAAGGGCTGCAGGGAAGAGGCCTCACCGGCCATTGAGAGCCGGCTAAGTTTTACTCCTGGGGCAACCGGAAGCTATTTAGGGGTAATGAGCAGGGGAGTGATGTGACCAGATTTAGATTTTAATAGAATACTTTGCTGGGTAGAATAACTGGCCTTTATTTGTTCTTACCTAATAATATTTTCTGCTCTAGTTTTCTGTGAGGCATTCACAGATGGAAAAAAACAAATTCCTTACAGAGCCATGGACCATAATCCCCAAATCCAGAAAGACATCTGTTAAAACTTCCAAAGGATTAGACGAGCCTTCTAATCTCTGGGTTATTTAATGGTTTGAGGGGCAAAACTGAAGAATACTCTCCAAGGACTATCTTGGATTGTAAGAGCTTCTAAAGTCACAGGTCAACTTCTGTAGGAGGGAGTTAAGCTTAGAGAATATTGTTAAGAGCATAAGTCAGGTAAGATTCAAATCCTGGCTCTGCTATTTTCTCTCTGAGTTTCTTAGTGACATTTCCTATAGAAGTCTCATGAGTCTTTCGACAGGCAGTAGGTACTATGCAGAGCCTGCTAAAGGGGCTGTGTACCCAAGTTCAATAGCACTTGGGTAACTCCCTCAAATTTGGTAGGTGCTCAGTAAGGTAAAAAATATGATGAAGGTAGACTAAGCTCCCCAGACAGCACCTGCCTAGTGGATTGTTATTGGATTATACAATCTGTACTAAACATGGAAATCTTCAACCATGATATTTGACAAACCCCACTTTTCACTCCACAAAACACTAGCAATAAATCCAGAATTTACATGATTCCAGTTTTTAATGCTAAGGGCAGTGGAGAATATACTAGACCGAGTCCAAGGTCTGGATTCCGCTGCATCCAACTCCATCACTCTGTATTCTTTGGGGATAAAACGCCAATGCCAGTTTCTCAATTTTGACCTCACTGACATGTGGGGCTGAACAATCCTTTGTTGTATGAGCTGTCCTGTGCACTGTAGGAAGTTTAACAGTACTCCAAGCCTTTACTCACTGACAGAACCACTATTCCAGCTGTGACAATCCAAAATATCTCCAGATTTTGCCAAATATCCCCTTGGGGGCAGAATCACGCTGCTGCTTCTTTGAGAACCACTCTTTTTTTTTTTTTTTCCTTCCACACTTCATGACATGTTGGAATCTTAGTTTCCCAGCCAGGGATCGAACTGATGGCCCCTGCTTTGGAAGCACAGCGTCTTAACTACTGCGCCACTAGGGTAGTCCCTGAGAACCACTGTTGATCTCCGAGTTTAGGCATCTCACCTGAAACTCAGGGGAATGAGATAACATCTGTCTTGTTTCTTTTCAGGGTTTTTGTATCATTAAAATAAGATAATGAATGGCGATAAATACTGAGAGAAAAAGACCATGTAACATACCTAAAAGCATTATTATTACTTTGTGGGTTATGTTCTATGATGCTCAATGACAAGGCTGAAGAAAACTACTCACATCTTGTTCATGGAATGCATAGTAAGGCCTACTTTAGACTATGTGGAGTCTAATATACCATTTACATTGGTACTCAATAAATACCTGTTGATTGAATGCTTCTAAGTCTGGGTCCAATCAATAGTAAACTTTCTTTCCAGCACGTTCCCAGGTTTTCCTGCTGAGCAAGCACAATGTAGTATGTTGCTAGACCTAACCGCATGTGAAAGACAGGATTGGATTAAACAAGAACGGCTACTTACTTTTATCACTGGAAAATAGAGGCACAAGAGGTTAACTGGCTAGTCAAGGTCATGTGGCAGTCAGTCTAGTGATAGCCTGCAATTAGAATCCAGATTCTGACCTCAAGTCCAGTGATCATTTTATCACTCGTATCATTGGACTTTCGGACTTTCGCCCAACTCCTGCATCCCTGTCACTTAACATAAAGGTGTTAGGGACTTCCCTGGTGGTCCAATGCTTAAGACTTCATGCTTTCCCTGCAGGGGGCGTGAGTGCAATCCCTGGCTAGGATAACGAAGAATCCCCATGATGCACAGCTCAGTCAAAAGGAAACCAAACAAACAAAAAACAAAGGTAGCTATTTACTTTCTGCAGCAATTCTGAAAAATTGAGATAAGGAAACAAAGTTGTAGTTTTTAGGGAGCTTGGAAAGAAATACAGACCTATTTCTACTGGGAGGAAGAAATGAATACTCCCTATACTCAGAGTAAACCAACATCAAGGTATCTAAGGGCCCTGGAAAGTCTGTAAAGCACATTAAAGGAATTCTCCAGGCAATATTACTGGAGTGGGTAGCCATTCCCTTCTCCAGGAAATCTTCCTGACTCAGAGATTGAACCTGGGTCTCCTGCATTGTAGACAGATTCTTTACAGAGGATGAGATGGTTGGATGGCATCACCGACTCAATGGACATGAGTTTGAGCAAGCTCTGGTAGTTGGTGATGGACAGGGAAGCCTGGGGTGCTGCAGTCCATGGGGTCACAAAGATTCAGACATGACTGAGTGACTGAACTGAACTGAACCACCTAATAATCAAAGAACTTTCTGGGCTAACACTAAATTTAATATAAAATGGCTCACCTTTGGAAGTTGACACACTGTGGGAATAGTTCCCAATGTGATTAATGAAATTAAGATTGGCTCCCAGCTGAGCACTCCAGGGCCTGTCCCTAACCATCAGCTCCTGCTTGTCTGAAAATGGAAATTCAGTTTGAGATCCTGAATAGACCACTAAAAATAAACAACAAAAAACAGGAGGAGGAAGTTGTGGGCAGAAGGGATATTTTCTTTTTCTGTTTTATGGCGGCTCTCCAAGTATGCAAGGAAGTTATACTCAATCTCTAACTGGTAAAACTGTACCTG